TTTGGCACAAGGGTGATGGTGTGAGTCTTCTCTTGAAGAGATGAGCGTTGAGTGGGCCAAAACATGCTCTTAGTTGAAAGATTGCCTCTGCCCTACCTTTTTCAAGTTCATTCAATCCCTTTGCAGCTTGGGTGTCGCCGTGAAGAGGATGTTACCTGGTTCGAAAGGAAAGTTTTCAATCTTAAAGTTGCCTAATTGTTCAGTTTTGATGATTGCGATACATGATTCTCCAAAGCTGGACGGATGAATATTATAAAAGTGCGAGCTTTGTAGAGCACGAGTGTACTCAGTAATAGATAAGAGGACACGAGTGGGAAGCAAAGTGAAGTACCTAGTGGTACGAAAAGAACAAACACGAGATAAGAATGGATGAGGAAATAGAAAACAGCGTAAGAGAGCACATTCTTATATAGTGTAGTATTCGTAACACCATGGTACAATCAGTAAGCAAAAATAGATTAAAAGAAGGAAGCAAAAGAAGTTACATCATAGTGATAATTAATACTGATGTCATGACTAGAAGAAGAAAAATTAATTATCTCAATAAATATCACCTTCTTTCAGTGGGTTCCACCCTGTCCCACTCTAGCTCTTAACTTTACAACCAACCCCCTTCGCTTCCACTCAACTTATGCATATAGTGATTAGTCACGCAGGTTGAAGAATGATGCATAAAGGGTTGAGCTTACAATACATCAGCCCTGCAAGCCTCATTGATTGATCCAGCTCCGATATCCTCCAATATTCATCAAGTGTTTTCAACACTTTTCAACATCGTTGAGCATTCACGGATCTACAGTTTTAACTTTTAACATTTAAGAAACTTCCTCAACCTTCGATCGGTTTTCTTTCAATAGATAGCCGGACGGATCTCAATTACATACAATAGATTTCGCGAGTTATCAATTTGATCAAAACAATTTGTTGGTGGATTGTCATCAACTTTTCAGCTTGGATATGAACGATAACTTTCATCAATTTTGTATTCACTTGTACAATCTTTTACTTGGTTCTCTTCAAAACCGACAGGTCTTTCAAAACATGACAAAGCGATCCGACATGCTTGCATCCGTCTTCTTTCTAGTTTGGTACAATTGTTTCAGAGCGGTCTCGGGAGGAAATTTAAATTTGAACTTTACAAGCCTATGTAAGTGATCCTGATACATGACAGCCTTGGAATGAAGCTGATTGGTTTGATTGACCTGTGTGATCAGATCCGGAAAATGGAGCTGTTCTTCCAAGTACTGGGATGATGTACTATAGTGCTTGTTATAGAGCAACGGTGGTGAAATTTGATTCAAAGCAACAAACTTTCAAAGAAATCACTATCCCCTCTGTCACTGGTCAACCCAACACTCACGTCTCAGGTATTGAAGCCGACAGATCACGTGCTTTGATTTGGGCTGTTGTGGATGCTGCTTCCGCCTTTGACACAAATGGAGGGTAAGCTGAGGTCTCTCATCATAAATCAAATCTCACTTGATTCAATTTAAAGGATCTTGTAAATTGAAGTTGAAGTGGATGATGATTTGTTGATAGTCAACTTTCAGGTCCAGCTGGACTCGTTGGGATTGACACAAATGATAAAATTCTTTATAACGTCGATTTGAACCCTGCTCTCAAAGAGGTTCAACGCTTGAACGGTGGTGTAGAAGTGGGTGGGGCACAAGATGCGGTATGTCCACTATCTTTTCTTTGAATCATAAATTTTTAGAAACAACCCTTTGCAAACTCGAGCCTTGAAGTATTGACATTTATCTTGCTAATCTTTCTTTAGACAACTGATAATGATGGAAATGTATACGTACCCGTTGCTTTTGGTAAGCATTTGTTTCCAATCTAATTTCAAAAGACGGAGAAGTTATCCACCTTCCCAAAAAATTTGTATAAATATCACAATCTAAAAGTTGAGGTTTTATTTCAGGTCAAGCGATCTTGAAATTCGATCCCAAGACTCAAAAAACTTCAGTCTTTTACTTCAAAATGAATCCAAAACCACATGATATAGGTTATACTGGTATCGAATTCGTAAACTCCAAAACCTTGATCCTTTGGAATAATGTAAACAGAAGGATAGAGGTAATTCAATTGATTTCCATCTGCTCAGAACGTTTCAATGTTTTGATTCACCAAGTTTGAACTTCTTGACAATTTATGTAGACGATTGATATCACTTCACGCAAGATTAAAGCATCTGTTCCAAAAGGTGCTCATCTACCTAAGCCAACCGTGGTAGATGCCATCTATATTCCTAGCTTTAGTAAAGGTACTTGTTTACTCCTCAACAACGTCGTAGAAAATCAAGTAGAAGTAAGTCATCATGCCCCTCCGTTAAAAAATGCGCTAAATGAACCTCTCTATCCTTTGCTTGGTCCTAGGTCATGAAAACACGCAATAATTGGAAATCGGTTATTCATACCGCTTCTATCAGCACTAAAGAATTTGATGGAATTTCCACTTTCACGTATGAGATTGATGACAGAATGTATTTTGGCTCATCAGCAAGTTCAAGGCTTCATTTTGTCCAAATCTTTCTCACCTTGAATGATTTAGGTCCTAACCCTCCATGCATTTTTTGTGCGCTTTAAAAACAGTACTTTAGCGATGACCACTCGCACACTCGAAGTTTTTTCCCTCAAGGTGATATAACTGATGCAGTTATCAAAGCCTGCGCTTAAGATGACTGGTCAAATTTGGTCTATATAAATGAACATTAGATTCCAATTGCATCAAGTCAATTTTGCTTTGAGTTGAATGTCCAAGATGAACACCACTGATTGCTTTACTTGAAATAGGAAGTAGGTGTATGTTTTTGTTGTTTGAATTTCAATCTCAATCATCCCGTACCTCTACACTTTTGACAAAAAAGTCCAAATTAATATGATCTATATTCCAACAACATCTATCAATTTGCTTGTAGCATCTTCACTAAACAATCATTTAATTTATTGAATTCTTGGGTATCAATTGTCCCTATCCTTTGTACCATGGGCAAGATGTATCGGTAAAAGAAACTGCTCTTATCTGGCCATGTAAATCTTCACCTCTGAATAAAGAAAGATCATCAAACAAGAATAGTGACATCCTACTAGTCTCCAAGGTTTGGAGATTTGAGGGAGATGAGGATATGCTGGACTTGGGATTGTAGTAAACAGCTATGATGTCATGGCTGCTGACCAGCCGAATAAATGCACAGTATCGGACTAATCCCATAGACCAATCATCCAAACTGCTGGTGAAACTGTTCATGGTTTGGATTTGATATTTATATGACCAGTTGGATTAATCTATCATCAATCGATTGATAGAAACTGGTTTACTTTTCAAGTGAATCTTTTTAAAGAAATAGAAAAACAAGATATCGATCAATCAAATTCAGTAGAAAAACTAATCAAGAACAAAAACCGATTTCATTGACTTCAAACAAAAAACCACAAAAAAAAAACCAAACTTAATCAAGAACAATGATCCAAGAAAAAACACACACACACAATGAATTTAATCCACAAATAAACTAAAACAATCATCCTCAAACCATTTCTTTGCAAAGTTCATTCCACTTTCACTAGGTTGACTAAATCCAATCAATCTTAATCTATCTAATCGATTGGTGATCTTCAAATTATAAATAAATGTTTCACTTAATACATTCATTAATCTTTTGGCTAATCCAAAGTTTCTAAATTGAGGTGAAGTCCAAATTCGATGTATGCCAATTAAAGCTTGATGTGGTTCAGGACTAAGGAAAGAAAAAAAAACATACCAAATCATATCGATCAATTAATTTTCATCTGTTTGGTTTATAGAGAAGAGATTTGATCAACTTACGAGCAATAGATTGTAGTTGTCTCTTGATCAACAAACTTGATTAACTCTGTATCTTTTTCCTTTCCTTTCCCATTAGCTAGATTATCAATCTTGACTTGATCATCATCTTTAATAATCTTATATGCTCTCTCAATCCTTTTAGCAATACAAACCGATCTAACAATCAAAGATTTTGTCCTTTTAGTTTTCTTCTTTTGACTTTCGATTCCCTCTTTCTTTCTCTTTTGGGTTTCATTAGATTCACCTAGATATAGGTACATAAAAGAGTCTTGAAGTTCTTCTGGACTAAGTGAATGTGATCCTAGACTGATTTCCAAGATTTCTAAAATTTGTTCGACTTTGGTTTTGATTGGTTTATGTTTCTTTAACCAATTTGAATCTAAACTTAATTTTATAATCTCTTCTCTACCACTTGATTCTGTGTCTTCATTCATCATGTCTTGTCTCCAAACTACTTTATACATTGGATCATGGTCGTCAGTTTCAAATCCCCATTCGATACCGCCGACTACTCTTTTATGATGTCGAGCGTGAATCGCAAGATCTTCTTCGACTCCTAAAACATATGACATTCCACACTCTTTACATACTTGAGTTGTAGGTCGATTGGAGATATCTAATTTGAGCTGTGATAGAGCTGGTCGATTAGATTTGACTGTCATCAACTTCTTAGACTTGCCTTGAGCGGATCTATGCGATGAGGAAGGCTGGTCCTCAGATCGATGATTGTTGGGCGACGCTGAGCGAGATCGGGGTCTTTTAGCTTTAGGTGCTGTTATAGACGAGAAAAACGATCGAATATCATGACCAGTCGAAGACACTTTGGATTTCGAAGTAGAAGCTTTGAGACCCGTTTTGAATTTTGATGAAGAACCTTTGATACTGAGATCTCTCTGTGTTTTCGTTGCTGATCGGTCATTGATCTCGAGAGGGATAGTAGCTGGCTGAGAAGTATTGGTTTGAAGATCTGATGAGAAATAATTCAATTCATCCGATACAGGAACACTTTCATTAACAGAAACAAGATCAAGTGGTGTAGAGATCGGTGAAGAAGTTGAAGGTATTGTAGGAGGTGGTGAGCTACGTATGTCATCAAATGAGATTGTTCGATCGGGTAGCGAAGCATCCAAAATCATTCTTGGAGGTGGGGACGGGCTTGAGATAAGTGATTGAGAACTCGAATCTCGAATCGGAGTCAAACCAGAAGCCATAGGATGTGAAGTGTTTTCAAGGCAAGTTTGATATCCGGTGTGCTTCAACGAAACAAGAGAACGAGGTGTGGTATATTGACGTAAAGTAGACTTTGTTCGAGCGTATGGTTTTTGATGTTTCGATTTTGGAGTAGGAGAACTATTCATCTGTGAGCTTATAGGAAAGGTTGAATTCAAGCAAACATCTTGACTAGCTTGTAGTGATAATAAAGAATTGGATATTGGTTTAGATTGAGGTTTGTCTTTGTTTGTTGGCTTAAACGATGGTATGACAACCTGAGGAATTAACTTCTTTGATCTCGATACGTTTTGTGGATGATGAGATAGAGATGGAGATGTTTCAAGATTTGATGGGTTGATTATATTTGAAATCTTGTTTTCTCGACGAGGTACTGGAGGTATCACTACGCGTGGAACATACGAGCTAGATGTAAGCTGATGTTTTGATTGAGATGGATCGGTTCGGCTGGGATTATCAAATAGCAAAGGGGTGTGTTCAGGTTCAAGTTCAAAATCGATGTGGCTACAATGTAAAACAAGAATAGGGAAAGATCGATACTTACAGGTTAGTTTGTTGCGAATTGACCATTTTGAATTTGATGGAATGACAACAGATGTGTTTGTGGTTTCGAATGGATCTTGATGTGATATATAATCTAGAGTATATTTAGAGTGATGAATGATAATCAAGGAAGTTGAGGAAGATTGGATTGAGAAGGTCTTGATTTGAATGAAGCTTGGGAAAGTTAATAATGTTGGGGTTCCGTTCAAGTTTAAATGGATGCTGAGCTGAGCGCTGAGCGCCCTTGTGCCTTGAAAATCTGTACCTGTAACTAGCTACATACGCGACTGGACGCGACTAATCTCAACACGTGATCATCACACTATCATTTGCATGTCAGCTACGGGGAAAGACCCGCATGACACCTTCCCCACAACTGATCACAGCCTTTACCATCTGTCTTTACATCTCATTCTCCAAACGATACTGGGACCCCTTTAATTAATCTTTTCAACCAAAAGAAAGAAAGATTCGGCGTGTTTATCTCCATAACTTCATCGCGATTGAATTAGTCAGAATCTTTGTTGAACTCGCAAGTGAAATATTGATTCATTCAAACACTCAGTTTTCTATTGATAAATTTATGTTTTGGAATTGGACCAACACCCTGAAAAGGGCAGCCAGAGCCTAGAGGTACCTCAAAACAGGGCAAATTAATTTCCAAGAAATCAGTCATCAAATTGAATGTATTATGGAAAAAGGCCGGTCAAATATGTTGATGACATGTAACACACAAATCCTTGAAAAGAAAGAGCCAAATAACACCAGGATTACGACCCAGAGAACCTGTAGGTCAGCGTAATTGTGATGTGGTTGAGATTGTGTTATGACTCTCCAGTCACATCTTCAATAGCTTTGAACCACACAAATCTTTGGTCAGCAGTCTGATAGCCTCTTAAGACAGGATCTCCAATCTGACTGATGGTACATTTGATTGATGTATGCAATACATATGATAGGATCACATGAATCAATTTACCATCTTTTGACAGAGCCTTTGGTGGCTCCAGAGTCCAATCAGATACATATCACAAACAGAAGACAAAAATGTCAAACCACAGGGGCCAATATTGATGCTCAGATACATGTGAAAATTGTACACTTTCCTGAATTCTCAAAAAGAAATCTCTTTCAGATTCCTTCAATTGACAATCTTGGTAGTGCTCAGCTGATCAGGCTGTTTTGCTCAAAAATTTATGTACATTGCTGAAGAATCCTGATTTCCATCTTGGATGAGCATTCTTTGAGCTCAGTCTCTCGGATGAGTACTCAGAATCAGTTCATGAGTCACTGCATACTCAGGACAGCTCAGCAACCATTCCAAAATCACAGATCAGCAGGCTCAAAGGCATGCTGCTGACAATCAGCTGAGGAATGGAGATGAGGCATGAGCAGATGGGCCAGCCCTCCCTCAGGCTTCTTTGCTAAGGAATGATGTCTGAGGAAGGCCTAGTTCATCTGCTCAGTTCTTGTTTATCATGTAACCAGCTGACAAACAAGAAGAAACCAGGAAGAAAAGGCAAAGAATTTGGAAGTAAAATTGAACAAATGTTAGAAAAAAGGAAATTTCAATGCTCACCCCAATGTGAGCATCTATTTTTCTGTGAATGGAATTTCACATCTTTGAACCATTGTAACCTCCAAAAGCTGCCATGTTGATAAACTTAGCAAAGTCCCACGCTTGCGCATCCTCGCGAGGCATTGAGCGAGGGACTTATGCCAAACTTGCACAAACTCCTTACTCAGGGTTGGAGGCTTTTGCAGGAGAGCGCCTTAAAAGGCCTCTACAGCTTTTCCCTTCAAGCAATGGTCCCCTGGACCAAAGGAAAAGGTTGTTCGCCATTCTTTTGCACACATTGTACATGTTTTTTTTCCCGAGGAAGTTGCTCCCCTCCTTTCTTTAAATTGTCTCAAAGTTTCTAAAAATTTGTATGTAGATGTAACATGTGTGAGCTGTATGTAGGTAGACTGCGGAGGAGAAAACACGACAAAACTTGTGCCAAAACTGTATATGCTTTAGGAATTAATCCTTGCCTCATCTATAGAAGACGGGTGCTAGTCAGTACTTTGATGAAGCCAGTATCTTAAGAACAGCTGTGGTCTTGGCTAATCCTTGGGATCTTTATCATGGTAATCTTCATTTAGAATCTAATTTTATTCAACAAATTTATTCTTGTGTACTTGCTTTTAGTCTAAGGTAAAGTAGATCTTCAATTCTTTTTTCTTTGAGTTTTTTATCTTTTATAAAAAAACTTTAAAGAAATTGATATCCAGATCTGATGGGTTTCAAAACCAAATCGTTTGCTTTCTTTTTCTTCCACAGATCAATGTTTAAATGTCATAAAGATTGTTTTTTAACTGCTAACCAATCTAATGACCCATCAATGAAAGTAGATGTCGACTTACTATTCTCTGATCCATATCAAACCCAATACGATTTTTGTGACTTGAGTGTTATGTTACTTGGACAAAATAGAAAAAACAAAAGATACTTAACACTCGCAGCAGTGACACTACAATGCTACATGTTACAGGTGAAAGTTTTTTAGAAACTTTGAGACGATTTAAAGAAAGGAGGGGAGCAACTTCCTCGGAAAAAAAAAACATGTACAATGTGTGCAAAAGAATGGCGAGCAACCTTTTCCTTTGGTCCAGAGAACCATTGCTTGAAGGGAAAAGCTGTAGAGGCCTTTTAAGGCGCTCTCCTGCAAAAGCCTCCAACCCTGAGTAAGGAGTTTGTGCAAGTTTGGCATAAGTCCCTTGCTCGACGCCTTGCGAGGATGCGCAAGCGTGGGACTTTGATAAGTTTACCATGTTGAGCTCATGATGAGCTCAATGTATACAGGTCTTTGAGAGGATGATCTAGGATTACATCAATTGAATTTGATGACATGATTGATACCCTTGAACCCTGGAAGTTACAGAAAATACTACCTAGTTCTGAGCTATCTGACACACAGGCAATAAACGGTGTTTTAAATCTGCTGAATGAGCTGCTAATCTATTGACCACAGCATTCAATTTCACAAAGCCTGACTAACTTAATCCTCTATTGAATTTGCGTCCAGCATCTTGAATCCTGCTGTCCATATACTCTTTGTGTTGTGTGTGATTGGCTTGATCCAAAGAACTTGGGCCTGTAGTCACATTCCTGTTGCAGAACATGGATAAAACCAGAATGCACAGTTCTTAATTTTTCAGAGATATCCCACAAGTTCAACTGTGTGTTTTGATATTTGTGATACAAGATTACAAAGGAAGTGAGAGAATCTTACAAGGTGACCCTTGAATATCAAAATTTTCAAATAACTGAATGTGACTGTCCTTTCTTCTTCTCATAGCATCAAGAGTTTGTTCAAAAATGTATTTTGATTCTCTTCCAATCATATCTTAACCCTTATGATCACATATACTCCTAATTGTCTTGGTTCACATGCATAAAACATTTCATAGCTGACCACATTTACAAGCACCAACTTGTAATACAAGAAGCCAGTTGAAACGTGCAAAGACCTGACTTCATCTTCAGATTATGAAGTATTGGCCAAACACAGAGATTATCATCAAATGAACCCACAAGGATGTGGTTTAATCCTTCCTTGGAGCACACAACACCTTAGGTAATTGTTAGCATATATGGAAGGGACATAGGTTGTGGTTGTGGGGCATCATGCTGAATTCTCAATTTAACCTTCTGGGTGTTCTGAATAGGCTTCTGTAGGATTTGTGTGCATGTTCAATGTAGAGTCAGCTGCATGGCAGCTCATCTTGCTTGATTGTAGCCCTGGCATGGACCACCAACTTTTCAACCACCATCAGGTAAGACAAAACATTTGGTTATCCTTAACAAGCTGTAATTTCCTCACATGGCTTGTGGTGGTCCTGCTTCAGATGAAGCTATCTCGCTTTACCTGTCTGATTGGATACATTACATTTGATATCATCACTTCTACCTTGACTCTGCTTCCAATTTCCAGCAGTCTTGCCAGCCAATTGAGCCACAGGCTAAAGTAAGATATGTCCCCTCCCAAATCTGACCCTAAGCTGGTGTGTACCATAATCAAGCTTATCATATTCTCTTGATCAAGTCTTCATCTTGAAGATCTTAGCACAACCAATGCCCTTACTTTTTTGTTTAACAAATCAACCATAAAAATGCTATACTACCAAAAGATTCAAAGTTGACTCAAATTTTAAGAATCAAGATTGAAGAAGTCTAAACTGACCAGCTTTGAACCAAACTTAACAAATCACCACAACTCATCTTCTTTTCTGATATGTTTTTTTGAAAGGTAATTGAAGTTCTTAAATCAATGAAATGAAGATTATCCAACTTTCTTCTTAAGATTGATTATGAATTGTTTTCTTATTGCTTTGCCCTTGACCAAAAAGGTTAAAAGGCTACAAACTCATTAAAAGATAATAATCACATGTTTCTTTTCAGACAAGGTCTTTTCTCTATTCCATCATATGAGATAAAGACTGCAACTTGTAGAAAAAAGAAAACCCACCCAAACCCCAAAAAGAGATACCAAACTGTTTTTTTCTTAATACAATCTAATCAGTTGATTTTGTTTTTTTAACTTGTTTTGATTTTCTTACATTTGCAATTATGATTTTGCTAATAGTGAAAAGAAAAGATGCTACAAAACCAACAAAATTAGATGATGATAATGATGATGAAAAAACCAGTCTTCATTTACAATCAATATACCAAAAGATGAATAGAGTTAAGGAGTATAAAATATGGATTAAAGAGTAAAAAAAGATATGATAGTGTGAGACAGATAAATACATGTTTGCTGCTTAGATAAGGATTAATCATTCTACAATCAAAACATCAATGAATTATCTATAACCAGGTGGAGGTGTAAGAGATGTGTCTGGGCCATTGTAATCTGTTGTGGTTTGATGTACACCGGGTGGTGGTAAAGGGGCTTGAGTGGGTACTGAAGGTAACGGCCTTCGAGGTGAAGTACCAGTAGAGACCCCTCCATATGCGTCATCTGCTTCTGCTTCTTCGTACCTCATCTGACCTCTTGCAACTGAAGTTGGTGGATGATTAGAATAGGCTGTTGGTTGTGGTGGTTGTGGGGCTTCTACTCGGTTAGAGTTAAAGTCATCTGCTATTCGATCAGGTTCTTCAACATATGGCCCAGAATGTGTAAAGTGTCCATCTCCCTGCTCTGGTTGACCGTAATCTTGATCATCATGACGGGGTTGCTGATTGATGAAATTCCCATGACTTGGTTCATCATAGCTTGCCCAACGGTGTCCTTCTCCAGGTAAAGGTAGCCCTCGTGATTGGTTGTCAGCCTGGGGAGGCATGTACTCAATCGTAGGCGCATGAGTAGTATAATGATCGTTTGGTGTGGGTTGATAAGATCGGTTGTCAGCCTCAGGTTGCATGCCATTCCACATCATATGATCTGGCATAGCGTGAGGTACGACTGTCCGGCTTGGTGAGCGAGAGTGGGAGTATGATGGGTGCCTGGATGGATTTTCGTAATAACCTGATTGCTCTGAGTTTTGTCTATGAACAGCAGCCATTCGCGCATCCATCTCGTGAGGTGGGGTGTAGTATGGCGAGGGAATATGAAGCTGTTGTCCGTAAGGTGTTTGAAGATTTTGGCGAGGTGGATGAGATTGCTGAGGCTGGGAATAACTAGCTTGAGAGTAAAGTGAGGCATGTGAACCAGGTTCACCGTAACGAGGTTCTGGATACGAACCAGGTGGAGCATAACGAGATTCTGAAGGTCGCCGACCATAACCAACGCCAACTCCTGTAAGAGAGGTAGGAGATGCATATGGACCGACAGATGCTCTAGGAGCAAGTAAAGCATGATGATCTGAATAAGTTTCGTCGTCTACATTGAATCGGTTCAAAGGTATCTCTTCGTGTCTAACATGCTCATTTCCATACTCGGCAAACGCAGGAAGACCAGCAGTAGGTGGGTTGAGTCGAATCTTTTGTTCGCGTGCCTTTTCAGCTTCGGTAGCATCGTATCTCATTTGATCCGCGAAAGCTTGATCCGCGATCGGTCGAAGTTGATCGGCCTCACGTTGATGACGTCGTCTCTTTCTAATCAGACATCGTCCAACGCAGAAGAAACAACTACTGGAAGCCAATGCTACCCAAGCTGCGAGTGTAAGCCAAACGTTCAGACCGAGTTGAGCATTTGTACCGACCGCATTGGTGGCAGCTTCTACAATCTTTGATTTGGCGATAGAGAATGCAACGATATCGAAAACGAAAGCGATCAGAGCTACAGTGGTAGCGAGCGAGGCGAAGAAAGAAGTCCAACATGTCCTCGAGAACTCGCGTATGTGTGAAAGTAAGCCAAAGATGACAGCTAAGACAGCCAACCCGGCAGCTAAAGTAAGAACATTTTGATAAACAGATCAGATTCAATGGCCAATCGAAAGCCATTCAAGATGAGTAAGGAATGTTTCCAAATCGGAACTGACCGATAGGATGAAGAATGAGAACGTAGGTCAAGTTCTTCAGTACAGTACTTGAAATGCCTAGATTTGTGTCTTGTGGTAAAGATAAAAGTGAATTGGGATCTGAAACGATTAGGGAATGAATGATCAGTCAATGACGACACTTAAGAATGATGAGGATCTTACCAAGTGCATATCCAAGGGTAACAGGTGAACAAGCATCTTGAGATCCTAAAACGATACAATAACCAAAGACACCAAGTTTAATGTTACCTTTAAGAGTAACAGATGAGACTGTAGCTTCAACATCAGCTGAAAGGAAGTAAAAGTCTTTAAGGATTGGAGTTGAGATTGAGACTAGAACGAGTAAGACAGCAGCAGCTAAGACGACCAAAGTACCAGGAGTTTGAGGTCCGAACATGGTCGTATTTCAAGTTTGAGCTTGAATGAAATTTGAATGTAAGAGTCAGATGAAGACAGGAATTAAGGAAATGGTCTTTTTGAAAATGGAAATAAACAAATTGGTGAATCGAGTTTGAAACAACATCAACTGGATTCTTGGATAGTCACGAAGAAGAAGAAGAACAACAACAACAACAACAACATCCAAAAGTGTACAGCCCACTCAAGAGTCAAATCTTAAAACAGCAGTACATATCAATCTAAACGCATGGTAACCACACAGCCAACTCTTCATCGACTTCAGTCCAGTCTGGTTTCTCTATGTATCAACATCAAGACACTCAACTAAACACGGTAGAACTCATATCATCATCTTGAGATAATTGGAATACATTCAAACAAGATCACATCCCAAAATCATTCAGTACAGATGAATAAAGAAAACAGATGAAGTCCAACACCGAATAACAGCGAGTCAATCGATGTTTAATCCTGTTTACATATCATGGCGATCATTGTTTGACATCGCATTCTTCAAAACAGCTGTTTTCCATCTTATCACCACTCATCAAGAATTCATCAAAATATAATCGTAATGCCTCACTGACCCTTCAGTAAATGAAACAACCAAATGTGAATATTAAAAACTTGAGAAATCAACAGTTTCGCGCATTTTCAAAATACGCTCTTGGTGAGATTGGCTCGAGATGTATAGGAAGATAAGGCGAGGATTGCAAGAGTCGGTTTATAATTTACGAACAAGGTTTAGGATATCTATCTGTTTGCTGTTGGTACATATATAGAGGAGCTGTGAAGACTTGCGAACAGCGCTGTGATCAGTCCTGTCGAAGCGGGTGAAGACTAACTTAACCCAAGTCCGATCGTGCAAAAGCTCACGGTAACCCGAAGCCGAGGCACGAGGGACTTGCACATTAAACGACATCTCTGGCGTGACCAATAGCCCCAAAAAGTGAAATCTGGGTCACTTTTGGTTACAATCCATCCTATCTCATTCAATATTACTTTGATCTTATTTCTGAAACTGGCTGGTATGAGTTCAGTATCTTGTACTTAACTTCTATTAGAAAAAAAGAGAATCAAAATGTGCCAGCTCACAAGAATCCAGCTGGGAAACGAGTAACAAGTTTGTTCAAAGACATTACAGGGAGTCAATTGACCATGTTTCAAGCCTTTCTGAGGTCACGCATAAAAATCTTAGGGGTTGAAATTTCAAATCTCAAAAGAAGGAGCCTCAATGAATCAACATGATCATGAGCTCTATCGAGTTCTGAAGGAAATGGCCTCTTCAGAATCTCGACAGAGCTCATCTGACTGTTTTTTTGGAAAAAACCCACTTGTGACTCGTGGTGGAAAAGCGAAGTGAAAAAACACCCATCAAAAGGAGGCTATTAGTCATGCAACAATTTTTGTTTAATGTGCAACCCCCCTGTGCCAGGGGCGGACAAGTCCAAGAAAAATCACCTGGCACAGTGGGCTTGTTGTTAAGATAGGGTGAAGATGATGAAAGCTGGTCAAAAATCTAACTTTAAGAGCACCCACTACATATGCACCATGTAAATATCCGTGTGGCACGTCGACGTGCACACACGGAGAGTTTTGAAATAAAACTCCAAGTCTTTTGGTCAAATTTAGACTGAGATTGTTGTTGAGCACCCTTTGTGCTTTGTGATTTGTTCAAAGGATTTGCAGAATCCTTTGTTGTCAGCAGGGGTCAACTGACTTTCAACCTCCCAGGTGATAAGGGGAAGATGTGCTTGTTGTGGCACCTCTTTGATGGGTTGTTACAGGGTCTAAGGAAAGTCTTTTGTGTGTGCACGTCAACGTGCTACAAGGATATTTACATGGTGATGGTTGCGGTAAAGAGGTGATTTATCGTAACTTTACCGCTAAATTTCACACAGGTCCACTATGGGCCTGTTTTACACTTGCAGTCCCTACAACTGCATCAAATTTTGCATTGCGCGTGCTCAGATCTACGCAAGCCTACGACTTGATTTATTGTAGGATAATCGGTTGTCAACTGCCTTTTCCAAAACTTAAAACCTCAAACCTCAAACCCCAAACTCTGTTGAAATACAATCAAGACAGGTTGATTAGGGTAGAGTGGTGTTATGGTTTCTTTCGAGTGTTGTCTAATATCAGAAGTGAAGTTGTTATCTTATCGCTCATCTTTCCCATTGAATATTAGAGTTGAGCAACCCCAAACAGTTTGTGTAGTCGCTGCTTAGATATATAGTTGTGTTCTCTGTTCGTCTTACTCTCTTTTCCTCATCTGTTGGAAAGAGAGTAAGTACCTCAATACCTTTCTCACTTTAGATCATTTCACTGATAACTATTGATGTTAGAATTCCGGTAGATCAACTTCATCACGAGCTTCATAAAGCTTACAATCTTTTTCTCACTTTTCCTTTAACGTTCCCTCCATAAAACTTAGGTACTTTATTATCTTACTTAATTCTTGTTTACCGTCGATTGTGGTGTTTATCTTTTCCTCTTTTATTGTGTGCAGGTTAGTTTTCCCAGGTCTGCATACCTGTGTGTTGGAGAAGGGTGCTAAACGTTGAGCACTACATTGTTAGGTTAGTTAGAAATAAAATCTCATCTGTTGGAAAGAGAAATTCCGGTAGATCAACTTCATCACGAGCTTCATAAAGCTTACAATCTTTTTCTCACTTTTCCTTTAACGTTCCCTCCATAAAACTTAGGTTAGTTTTCCCAGGTCTGCACACCTGTGTGTTGGAGAAGGGTGCTAAACGTTGAGCACTACATTGTTAGGTTAGTTTTCCCAGGTCTGCATACCTGTGTGTTGGAGAAGGGTGCTAAACGTTGAGCACTACATTGTTAGGTACCGTCATCTCAGCCATTTACAAACTCCACAATTCAAAGCTTCAAATCTCAACGTTCAAACCTCAACACTTCAACTTCAATGTTCAAACTTCCAAATCATCCTACAAAGGTGACTTTAAACTAATCCAAATGTTGATTTATTTACATAGTTTCTCAATTCCTATTCTTACTCAATCATTCAAGATATGTTTGTTGTTTTGATACTATGTAAGAATTCATCTGGATTGAAATTATCATATAGTTTCTGAGCACAGTGAGTGCGGTCTTGATAGGTCTCAATCAATTCAGATGGAAGTGTGAGGAAGTGAAGGTGGTATGTGAGGTTTATCAAACAAGAAGTCAAGACCAGTTGGTCTTATTCTTGTTGTTCCTCTTGTTATTGGAAGACTTCAAAATGTCATCAACTTGTCTTTGCACATTGTGATGATGAGATGATTGATCTTTGGATGAAAATTAGGAGGAATGAGATAATTCATTTCAAGATCATACCACTGTGGATCTGGTTGACTCACAGTGATTTATTGTTGGTAAATCAGATTGTAAAGCAGCCCATAGTGGATTTCATGCGCTTACTAATTTAGTTGTTACACGCATGATTAAATTTCGTGGTCAGGACTGCAAGATTTACAATAAAACACACCCACCATAGTGGGTGCTCTAATAGTAGTTGGGACGCATTTTAACGTAGGGGAATAGGTGAAGAGACACCACAGGAATGAAATAGTCCAAAACCCAATTGAGGGAAGTTGTGGTGTTTGAGTCCGCAACTTCCTTCAACCGCGAATCTTGTTCACAATATGTTCACATTAGGTTCACATGTTACCCTGGAGCTATACCATACACAATATAACACATAGAGCAAGACCTCACCTTGATTTGCTTTGATGCAACCATTCTGCCAGCTCTACCAGTGAGCCTGGAGCCAAATATGTGAATGAGATCCATGATAGCTGATGCTGTGAAAGGGAGTATTGGCTATGTATACATGCTTTATACACACAGCAAATAGACAGGGCAACTCGAGGGGAACCTGTGAACCCATTGTGAACGTATTGTGAACTAAATTCAAGATGATTGAAGGACATTGCAGACTCAGACACCACAACTTTGCTCAATTGGGTTTTGAACTAATTCATTCCTGCGGTGAGAGTGGTCAAGTTGTGAAATAAAGGAATGGCTTACAAAGGTTTCCTTTGCTTTATAAGCTCCTATGACGTGTCGGTTGTGAGCTCTTCTGTATGGTTTTACAGAATCCAATTTTGGTTACATTTGTTAAGAATTGGCTTTCAGCTTTTGCACTCTTTTCCTCCTACCAGTTTATTGTCATCTATCTTGTATCCTCATTTGTTCTATTATCATCAATATTTTCTTATTATCTCTGAAGTTATCCTCATTTGATCTATTATCACCAAGATTTTCTTATTATCTCTGGAGCTTTGGCTCATTTTTTGTATCATAAAACATGAGCAATGCTATTAACAACAACTCAGCTCATTTTGAGAAAATCAATCAGCTGTTACTCAAATATGATAGGGCTGGGGGTAGTGAAAGATACTCCATGTGTGACCTTGGCTCCATTGTTGCGCGTATTTTCTCTGCTTCCAACCCATCCATTCCTATCACTTACTCTGAGGGATAGACTCTTATGGGTATTTTCTCTCACTAGGTTGATTCTTACCTAGTGACATAGTACTTCAGTAGCGTGGCACTTATTAATACTATTATTCAATTAATAATTTCCATTTATATTACTACTGTGTTATCTAAGTGTACGCTTATATATTCTATACAAGTGTTTGGGTGGGGGGTCTTCCTTAATCCTTGTAGCGTAATCAGAACATCTAAATAGTTTAAAGAACACTGTTTGAGTTTTAGAAATACGATATTAGGAAAAGGGAAGTCCCGACACCTAGACGAGACAACACGGTCGACGGGAAGAAAGGAAGGGTGGTGTTAGTGATACACCCCGTACCAAAGTATTCCCGTTACCGGGAAGTCCACAATAGTAAGGGAGGGTGGGAAGGACAGAAAAATTCTAACAGAGTCTATTCTATCTTCTTATTGGAAGTTATAAGTGAGTAAGGATAGGATTCTGTTAGGGAAGAATAGCGCACGGGAGGGAGCAATCACCTGTTAGTTGAAGGCTCTTACTTATATAGCTTTCTATTTGTAATACCGTATCCACAGAATCTCTTTTGGGATTGAAGAACGTCTAATTGGTAATAATGAATACATCTCATTTCTACTTACGTGTTTCATTACTTACTAATCTAGATGTCTACGGTATTTGTTATTGTAGACCTAGGAGTGCGTGCTCATGGACTACGGTAGCTCTCCTTGCGTGCCTCATACGATCACCTACAAAACTTCATTCATCATTTCTCAAACATCACTTGAATTGTGGTTGGCCTGGACAGCGCGGCGGGACACCTTGCTTACCACATTGGTGGTGCCCCCCTCCACCGGGAGAAACACTCTCTTGTATGCCCCTTGTTTTGGATGCTTCTTATCAACTGCTGTCCGACAACATCAATCTTTATCAGATGCCTCCCAACTTGTTCAATTATGACAAGGGAGGTGATGTTGGAACACCACCCCCTCTCCAAACTGCTCCCATTGCTTCCAGTAGCAAACAAGCTGGAACTTATTCTCAACGTTCACATTCTGAGACTCAAAAATCCAGATTGCCCTTCCCCTTGGCAGATAGTATTGGTCCCAGGACATCAAAGAGCCCCAAAAGCTTCTACAGAAGCCCACAACACCATCTTCTTTGGTCAAGTCCTAACAGAGTTGGGCGTTCTTGGGGTTGTTTGAATGAACAACCTCCAAAGCCTCATCAGGCAAAAGAGAGGCAGCAAGCCTTTCAGGATTTTGCTGAGCCGCCTAGAAGCACCTTGCCTCCTAGACTGCTTCCAAAATCCAAAGGGAAAGAGAGGCGTATCTCCATCACACCTCCGCCTTTGTCTCATTACACCTCCGATAATGCGGATGAGGACAACATCTTTTTCCTGGTCCCTGGATCTAAAAAACCGTGGCTGTTTGCTGCTCCTATCGCAGAGTTGGTGGACTCCTCTGTGTCCCTGTTGGCGAAATCTGTTCAACAATTGGACACAATGTGGTAATCTAAACCATTTGAAGCTCAGCATTGATAGCTTTAAATTCCGCCGCTTAACATACTCAAACTCCTTCATCTTTTATGTTTCATTTTATTATTTATTATTTTGTTTTGTTTTTCTCTCTGCTCTGTGGCCTGAACTCTCATCAAGTTCATATCAAGATCTATTTCAAGGCTCAGCATTAATCTGTTCTCAAACTCAATGCTCAAGTGAGACCAAGTTTAAGATCAATTTTTAGTTAATTTGATTATTTTTTTACATTATTGAATTCAATACTACATCAATCAACCTGATCAATATCACAAAAGCTAAATCTAATTTTTATAAAGGAAATTAAATACAAATAAGTTGAAATCAAAATTAAAAGAAAATTGAAAATTCAAAGAGAATCCAATCAAGATTGATCAAAGCGCTCAAGCATATCTGATAAGTATAAAATAAAGAAAACAGAAAAGGGAATTGAATATGAGAAGATTGAGTTAGCAAAATAAGAGAAGAAAAGCAGGAAATGAGGAGTTGAGGAGACAAGGAGATGAGAGGAAGGACTTACACTTGGAGTCAAATTAATAGTACACAATCAAAAAACTGGGATCAGATCAAGATGATGGTGGTTTTGAAAGGGTCAGAGTTAAAATTCTATAATGTAGATAGATTGCTGAGTGAGGAAACACTATCTGTGCGCTGAGCCAAGGATAGTAATAACAGCCAAGTACATAAGTGCCTAAGTGCTAGCAGCGCTATGTAGGTCATAACAGTGGACTTTTTTTGACTCAAAATGACAATTAAAGAGATATAGATGCCCATAAAGTCTATCTGATGAAAGAAGCAGTGAACAAAGAAGTCTAACCTTGAGGAGCCAAATCAGTCATTAAAACCTTGGCTACATTGACTTTATGATTCTGTTGGAATTAATTCATTACAAATTTCATCAACTGATGAATCTTCATCACTAGAGTGTTCTTTACCTGATGGTTGGATTAAAGAAATTGATAGACTAGCAAGAGGATTTCAAGTAAATCAAATCACTCATCAAACAAGCTTTGAGTTTCCTCAAATGGAAGAAATTGATGTAAAACCAATTTTATCTAAATGTATGAAGCAAACACAATTACTTTCTAAAACCTCAATATTACCTCTTTTTCTTGCTGATCTTCATAGAGAAGAAGAACAATAGAAGATGATCAACTACAACCCTGGTCAACGTTCAGTCCATTTTAGGAGATCACAATACACAAGACATTGGTTTGGTAAAATTGAAATGTGACTGCGTTGACGGATCTGTACACCACAGAGGGGTCCTGACGGAATATGCCTAAACTGTCAGCCGTACTGGCCAATGGCCTGCTTACTGGCTGGTTGGTAGGTTTGCACAGGGCGGCCATTGCTCACACTCAAGGCAAGCTAGCAAACCTATGGCAAACCTGGGGCAAACAAGATCCACAATTGACAAAAGTTGTGGACCTAGTCACCACAAATTTGCTCAATTGACAGGGGGAAAAATAGAAGCTCACATAGATGTGAGCAGCGGGTACCTTCCTGATAACTCCAAAAATGTTTCAATTTCCTTCAGATTCTTTCAATTCACCATTTTGGTGGTGCCAACATGCTCAGACTGTAATACTTAGGTATTGCTTGAGTTTGCTAAAGCTTGCTCATCTTCATCTTGGATGAGCATCTCTTGAGCATGGATGAGTGCTCAGGACCCAGCTGACACATCACTGTATACTCAGAATCACCTTCAGAAGGATCCAAAGGATGTCACTCAGTATTGGCTGAGGGGATGCTCAGTTCAGCACAGCTGCTCACCTAGTTTCCAGTGGCATTCCTGGGATCAGAAATATCCAAAAGATGTCACTGAGTATTGGCTGAGGGGCCGCACAGTTCAACTCAGCTGCTCACCTAGTCCTCAGTGCCATTCCTGGGATCAGAATCATCCAAAGGGATGGTTCCCATTGTGTTTTTCACATTTGGTTGGGTCTCTCACCGCTCAATCACATTTGGTCACTTGACTGTGCAGGCTGAGCATTGGAGGGCCTGAGATGACCTGAGCAGATGAGCTAGCCCTCCCTCAAGCTTCTTGGCTAAGGGATAAAGCCTGAGGAAGGCCTAACTCATCTGCTCAGGCCATGCTGACCATTTGATCAGATGATGAGCTGAAAGAAGACTGGAGGAGAATTGGAAGAAAATTGGAAAAAAAACTGGAAAAAGAACTTGGGGAAACCTCCAAACTTTCTCTGCTCACATCTATGTGAGCTTCTATCTTTCCCCCTGTGATTGCAGATTCCCGTGGTGAGAGCCCTTACAATTTGGTTCAGAATGAACCCAGAAACCTGGTGCTCTTCCAGGTATCTGAATGGGATATGTCATGCCACTTTAGGTTTGATTTGAGTACAGTCATTAACCCACAACATAAAAGCTACATAATTGTAGTAGTAAAGAGAAATGAAATAAACCATTTGTAAAAGATCATGGATGTGAAATGAATAACATGTAACTAGAATATTTACTTCAACACAAATATGGTCATTCTAGAGAATTGATAGGCTTATCTTGATAGAGAGTTATGATTTTGCTTATCATGGCCTCTTGAGCAGAAGGTGAGACTGGAAACAGTCTACTCATGGATAGATGGATAAGCACACCAAGAATCACATCATAGGGCTTCACATTCTCAAGGTCCATAGACTTTCTTAGCCTGTGCAGCACTGCCGGCAGCAGCAACATCGGTACAAGGCATAATGCAAGATATAAAATAGAAATCTGGGTGATCTCAACCCCCGGTACTAAAGTCAGTGTCGACCAATAAACCCTGACTTTGTATCTATTCAAATCATTTTTGTGTTTGATGCAATTGAATCTAGAATTGAAATCAGTTGCAATTTTGCAATTTCAAATGGAGATAGGATAGTTTTTAAGTTCTGTTCGAAGAGCTACGTAAACTGAGAAGAACCTTACATTTTTGATAAGAGTGTCGAAAGAATATTCATCAATGTATGAACACAGACAAGCATTTTGTTTTTTCATTGTTTCGTGCCAAAACAATTTGTGTCAGGATCACATTCAAATTGCTAAAGATCTCGTAATCAGTCAAACAGAACTATATTTTGTTTGTTATTGAATCCTAAAAGAAAGAATCAAAAAAATGTCAAGAGTACTTCAAAGACTTAATCTTCGTACATTTATTAAGGAAGATGATCACTTACGTTGAAAAGAAATCACGTCGATGAGGTCGAGGTACTCCTCTACAGGAAGTCAAATCCAAAACGCACAAATTTGGACAATTTTGAATTATGAATTTAAGTCCTTCACCTGCAAGGGTTAAAAAACCCGAAATGGATCATAAGCAAGTGAACATCGTTTTTTGAAAGTAAGAAAAAGTCCGACAAACAAAAAAGGATTTACTTGTGATCTTTGTGTCCTGTAAAAACAAACTTTCTAGAGCTGTACAAGTTGCTATAGCTAATTTTGATTCATCTGATACATCTGTTTTATTTAGTATCAGAGTAGTAAGACGAGGCGATGAGATTGAATCTTCTTGAATCTGACTTTCATCGTCAGAATCTTCAATAGATGCCGAGTCTTCAGAAAAAGGGTTTAAACCCAAATTCAGAGTGTTGTTCCCAAGACGTGTTACGTCACTCAGATCTAATTCGAAACATCTTCTTCCAATCAGTCGTATAAACCGAGCCAACGGATCCTTGTTATTAGAATACATAGAATTTTTAGCAAGATCAATATTTCCACGAAGGTAAATGTTCCTCAAGCCTTCGAGTTTATAGATAGATGGAATTAATTTATTTAGTCTAGCCGAATCCAAAGCCAAAAGATCATCTAGTGGAATGGTAAATCCATTAGGAGGTGGAGGGTTACCCATAAATCCCATCTTAAGTGTATGAAATCTATTCCTAATCTCTTCTGGTTGTGATGCAAATGTATCAAAAAAATCTACTAAACTATCTATAGGTCCTGATGAATGTGCTGTGGAGTGAGACCAAGATAAGATTGAAAGTCCCGAGATGACTAATTTGGTCAGTTTGCATGGACTTAGTGCGAGAGAGGGTAGAGATGAAGTCCCTAAAGAACTATCTACACGAAATAGAGCCATTCGAAGGACATCTAATGCTTCAACTTTTGTATAAGAGATATCAAGCCGTTCGAGCGTAGGAGCGCAAAGGTTTAAGAATCGACCCAATCCAGTAGCTGATACCAAAGTAGATTTCAATTTGAGGTTCTTCAATTTTGAAAGAGGAATATGCCGCGTTTCGTTTGCAAGTTCAGTTGCTTTATCGATAAGTTTAAAAATTTCTTTGTCTTTCTGTGAAATTTGATCGAAATTTTTACAAGACCTCAGCTTGAAAGCTATGAAACATGGTGAATGGTACGATAGCCCACCAATGAGTTCACGTTGGATAACTTCAATGTTTCCAGATTAGGACAACGACCAAGCAGAACAGATAGACCATCTGTGGTGACAGCTGTTAAATTGAGATTGATATATTGCATTCGATCTTCCGATGTTTCCGCCACGGCTTTTACTACTTCGTCTCCTAACTTAACACAACCGGACAAGTTAAGGTGCTGAAGGTTGGTGAGCTCTCGTAAAGATTTCGCGAGTGACTTTCCATCTAAATCAGTTTGCTTTGAGAGGTTAATCGTGGTCAAATGTATACAAGTTCGCAGTTCGGTAACAAACTCTCTCGGTATTTTTACAGCGTTGCAAATGAATTCGGTGATATTCGTTCCAAAGAAAAGGTTGATGATGTTTTTGGGTACGAAGGAAGGCACAGAGGGCTGAGTGACGAGATGGAACAGCCGTTGTAATAAGTGAGTTGGTAACTTTTTAATCAGTTCGATATTGGCGTCACATTCATATGTTTTCTGGCCAGTTTTTTTATCTAAGAATAATTCTTGAAAAGACTGTGCAATAGTTAATAGACATAAGCTCGTAAGTCGAGGGATAGCATGGGGCTTTGAAGGATACGGTCTGGTTGAGAGATGATTAACACCTGATTCTAATTGATGTTCAGCTGTTGCCAATCGACCTGATGAATCTTGAAGTGCTAAACGCGTTCGCTTCGAAGCTATTGGACCGTATCCATTGATTGAGAATGCTTTGATGGACCTTTTCTTAGGTGGCATTGTGTGATTGGTAAAGTGTTGGTGTGAATTTAAGTTGCATCCTCGATTGGAAGTTCTTGAACGCAAAAAGATGGTTGAAACTCAATACTTCAAGATAAAACTTTGAACCCTCTCAGACCTCTCAGTCTCAAATATTGAAATACAGCACTTCCCCATTCAGAAAAAAAACAAGCAACCTTCATAATTTTGATTGGCAACGAGAGAAGCAAACAAACTTGGGTCCTTGATTTGCCATCTTCAACCTCCCCAAAAGTATCTTCATACCCAGATTTAGAATGCTTGCAAACAATGATCTCAGTTATTGCTCGAGTTCAACGAAGTATACTTTTCATTCAGGGCAAGATGTGCAGTACTTTACACTTATGCAGCATGTTACACAAGATTTCCAATTCCCCTAGTCAGGAATTATCGTATGACTATAGTCTGCTGCAAGGTACATCATGGCGAAATATGGACTTTGTTCAGGCGTCTATATAACCCTAAGATGATCTATACCAAAGAGACAAGTTGAGATATTTCCAAGAAGTCTGCGTTAGCGTGCCAGAAACTTGAGAGAAAAGTGACTCATCAAGCATGAACAGGCAATGGTGCAGGGGATCTATATCTGTCAATTTGACGACCCATATCTTCAGGTCGATGTTTGGAGCGACCTTGTGCAAATATGAAACAGTTGATCACAGGTAGACTAAGAAATTGATGGCGACAACACCCTACACACTGAATTTGACCACTCTTCCGAAAAACCACTGGTGCTAAAAATTGCAGTAAAAATACATTTTGCTGGCTAAAACCTGGTTGCTCTACAAGAATACGAGTTGTGAAAAGAAGTAATATCAAATAGATTTCATCTCATGAAAGCCTTTACTCAATTTTAAACATGACTCTGAGATAAGGTCTGATCGGCTCAAGCACAGATGCAATAATGAAGTTCATAGTTCGTCTGCTCCGATCAACCAACCCACTCCACTCGTGAACTTGTTACTCAATGCTGTTGTGATCCGATCAGCGCCAACCGCAAGACCATCTTCTCCTACTAGATTCGCTAAGGGTTGTGAAAGAATAGAGCGATCATGAGAGGGAGTTGAGCTCCTTGTATGATCACTAGATGAGCGGTCTGTTTCTGATTGGAGGTCAGCGTGACCAAACGTTGAGCTGGGTATCGATCCTCCCGAAGATAAGATGGGTGAGTTTCGTGATTTGAATGGGAACAAGGCAGCTGCTTTGCCCAGTGTCTTGCTGGCTGCTCGAATCGCAAGATCTCCGGTTAAACTCGAAGCCGAATTTGCGAGATTGACAGCAGAGCTCATTCTCGATTCTGGCCGGCTAGGTGTATTGATGGTGTTGTTGCCAAGTTGCCATGATCCCGCAGAGATAAGTGGTGGTCTTCCCTCAACCGCAACTTCCTTGCTGATCAAGTCCTCTGCTTCGAGATCACGCCACTTGGCGAGCAAGCCTGAGATCTGATCAGCAGGGCATAAAATGATCGCATGGCCCAAGAGTCTCGATCTCTTCTCAGCATCCAAACCCTGAAGACTCATGTCTGAAGATGTGCCCAATCTAGCACATGTATTCCAAACAACATCCGATGCACTTTTTAACTTTTCTATCGGTTCTAATTTTCGAGGGCGTTTCTTCATGGTTTCCAACGTGCTGACCATACGATGGCAGGTTTCATTGGCAGTATTAAAATCCCGCATGGATATAGCAGAATCAACGATAGATGCAAGTGCCTTGATCTGGGAAAAGATGTCGTCGCGAAATCCGAGCTTCTTTACAAGATCTAAGATCATATCTTGATGTTTGTATGCATCTTCATTAGTTGAAAGCAGCTGATCTATCAGATCGAGTTTGTTTGCTTTCAAGCGGATTTGTATTGGTGTCATCAAAACGCCAGGCTGAGACGCGAGCTTGAAGGACGTGAGCCGACTGGTGGCTTCGATAAAGTCGCGCTCGGTCTGAATTCGGGGCGTCGGTTCTGCAGCAGTGAGACTAATGAAACAAGACGCATTAGTCTAGTGACGGTAAAAAGAATTTGAAAGGACCTTCGCACCATTCCATGGCAAGTTTCATCTCACCGACATTCTGGTTCCCCGACTCAGCATTATCATAGTACTCGCGCGACGCGGATATGACCAAGTCTTCTTTTACCTGAGGTGTCAGCGAGTGTCCACTAGTTGAAGAGGAGAACAAGGCTTTGGCTAACTTGAACTCTGTTACCAGTAATCTATGTCAGCTTTCCACAACAACTCGCGCTTAAACACATGGACGATAAGTACTGACTTCCGGATGTTAAGAGGCCAGAGAAAAACAATCTGATGATGTGAACTTCATCTAATGCATCAAACACTCGGCCAGGTTTGGAAAGCTCAATCATTCCTTCCAACAAGACTTCCCACTCTTCTTCGCTCTCCATCTCAAGCCCTCCTTCTTGACGTGCCATTCTAGTCGCTAACTTCTCTTGTTCCAAGCACTTGCCTTGAAACTTGACTATTAGATCTTTCAACTTGACCGGTACGTTCCATCGAGCAAGTACTTCAGCGGTCGTCAGATGGTGATCCAAGCTGTCTAAGATGGCCGAGAGGGTGCCAGCTGATGCTTTCGTCAAAGCTGCGTATAGTTGGTGAGTAAGATCATTGCCATTTTTAGAAACTTCCAGGTTGCTGAAAAGTTCCTGCAAATATTCCGAGGGCCGGAAGCTTTTGGGCATCGGTTCAGCATCAGGAAAAGCTGGCATGCACTCAAAGACTTTGTTCATAAGACTCCATTGATCCAGCTTTGAGCTCGTATATAAACATGCGATTGCGACACGGGCTAATTCCTCATTGTCTTTGATAAATCGCTCTGGAAGTTTTCGAGTTGGTGAACTTGACTCAATAAGGGCGACTAGGTTGGGCAAGTCATCAGCCCTGCCCAGTGCCCAGAACCGGATCGCATCCGGAATGGTGGTCTCGAACTCGGATGCTGAGCTACGAGCGATTCGACTCTCCATGACGCCAAGATAAGGCAAAACGAGCCGGTTGATATTTCCCACTAGAGTTTGTGGGGTTGACCCACGCAAGTACGCCTCGACTACTTCATTTAATGATTTGCTGCGCCATTCATCGAGATTCCATTGATGATATGTATGATCTGGTGCCTCATAAAGCAACTTGCTGAAGAGACTCAAATCTTCTGCCATACTTTCGAGACCAGGAACACCCAAAGAAGCACCATGCTGAACAAGTTCAATAGCTGTGTCAATATGACCTGTATACTTTTCAATAACATCAACTCGTGTATGGTACCACTGTGTCAGCTGTTCATCAGAATGCGATTCAGGGTATTTTGGTCGTCCTTGGAAAAAGTTCCGGATCGCATCATCTGGATTCAGTCGTGGAAGCGGTTGTTTCGATGTATTGCGTGGTAGGATCTCGATCAAATCACTGCCGTATTCCGGATCGGAAGGTTGAGCATGCAACGGTATCTGATCACATATATCTATATAATCAAGATGACACTGCTCGGCGATGATTCGAGTTTGGCGAAGTTTGAGCTCTGACGCAAAGCTCAAGGCGAGGTATCGAAGGTTTTGAATGAGAAATTCTGAGAATGAAGGAAGTTCGAGTTCAGCTTGCGAAGTGATCTGAAGTTCTGGCGCGAGATCGAGATCCAACTCTCCCCATGCATCTTGTGCAACTTCTGACGCATTGTCTGCACCCGCCTGGCGAGACGTTTGGGTTACCGGCGAAGAGTACTTGTCTACCTCATACAATTGAGCGTACAATCTCCATCGCCAAGATCTTTCATATGCCAGCCACCTAGCTTCACACGCTTCCCGCACCTCCTTCGATCCTTCAATCGAATCCTTAAGCTTTTGTTCTACGTCATCGCCATCGAGTTGTTCAACCATATTACGGAGCCATTCAAGCAAAGGTATTTCGTCTTTGAAGACTTTCCTCATCCATGATTCGGTTGCCTCTAAACCTACTTCGTTGAGATGCTTCTGAGTTGTGCTAGCGATCGATGATGATTGGCAAGAGAGAACTGCTTGTGCCGTCCACATTGGGTCCTTGGAAAGCAGCTGTTGTAACACGTCTGAAGGAATCTCTCGGCCAGCAGCTAGACATGTGGAAACTTGGTGTTTGAATAGGTAGCAAGGGTCCAAAGAAAGCGATTGGGCGATCGACTGAGCTTGAGACCAATCTTGACGTTCAATAGCTAAAGTAAGGTTGTCCATTTTGATTTGGAGACTGTTGCTTGATTCGGTGTCGCCGTCATGATCGTTTCAAGACACCTTGCAATCCGGCCCGTAGCAGATTAGGCATCCGAGTACCGCCAGAACACCCGCGGCCCTGAGCAACAGAATAATGCCCGAGGGTTCAGTTTGATGCAGAATCAACCATAAAATGGAGCTACATATCTTGATTGACAAAATCTCTAACTTAACACAAGTCCCAATTCTCGCAGGGGCTTTCTTACCTTCGCAAGCTCGGTGCCCTGGAGAGGGACTTGCGAATTATCGGCTGTTTTTGGTGTACCAGCAGGGCCTTTTGGGTCCCTGCTCTTCTACAATCTTGCATCTTCTGTAGTTTGTGCAATACACAATTTCTGGAGAGAGCAAAATCTGTAGGACATTCAGATGAACAACTTCGGTTTTTGAACAAAGTTCATCGATTGACTATTGATCCTCTTGGAAGAGAAAGAAGAATGTGTTATTTAGATCGTTTGTAAATTTTGTTTTAAAGGTACAGTCACGAAATTTCAAATTTCAAAATCTTTCTTTCATTTTTGAGAGAGCTCAGAGTGAGATACAAGAAATCTGAATAGACAGATCTGAAGGCAGTGGTCACAAGTATCTCCAGTTCAAATGAGCACGGGGGTTGCTTGAGAGGAAGTGGGTGTTTTTTTGTTTTGAAAAAACCTCTCCGCCAAACTTTCATTTTAAAGGCCCTGCCAACACACTGGGGAAGGCCGATAATTCCTAAGTCCCTCTCCCAGACACCGAGCTTGTGAGGAAAAAGTGTCTGGACCAGAGGGACTTAGATAAGTTAGACAAAATCTGTAGATTGGGAGGTGGTTCATTTGTGTGTTGTGCAAGTGCACTTCCTGCTCCTTTTCCAGAGAAAGATTACTTGTGCCAGCCTTCCCATACTCTTCCTAAAAATCTCTTCAAAAACCAAAAGGCTGAATGGTGCCCTAATTTGAATCATCAAACACATACAACACAGACAGTTACCTAGACTCATCTACAGCCTGATCCAGTTTGGCCACAGCCCTGGTCCTGGTCCAAAATGCTGATGAGTGGTGACTGACTATGTGTAGGGCTGTTTTTGTCATAATCAGCCAAAAAGAGTTGTCCTAGACACATAATTAGAGCATCTGCAATGATCCACCTATTTTTCAGGGGCTTGCACATCTACACAGCCCCCATCTTCAGGATGGGGGTGCAGCCTTTAGAAAAAGGTGTGCCCTGGCATGTTTATGCAGAAAGTGGGCGCGTCTACTGGCGCGTTAGGCGCCGCCTCTCACAGTGCCAGATGAAAAAAAAATCAAAAAAATTGAACTGACATGGATTTGAGATTGATTTGAGATTGGATTGAGGTGGACATACTCACTGGCAGGCCAAGTGAGTAGTAAAAAGACACTGTGCTTACATGTCACCTGATGATTATTCCATCATATTTTGGATGAACTTGATGTCTACTATCATCAATGAATGTACATATGTTGGTTGTGTTGAAGCATCTTGAGTATAGTTTTAAGATAACTCTACTCTAAACCCCTCTAAAGACACCTTTGAATCTATTGAGGTGTTACCACTGCTCATTCATCAGATATCTGGTCTTCTTGACATGGCAGCAATGCAGGAAAGAAACAAACATATATATTTTGAGAAGCTACACAGGTATAGCGCATCAATCAAGGTCAAAAGCAGATACTTTGATACTGTTGCTACTTCCAGTGGCAGCGAGGACGTTGATCGAGGATGTTGATTGGATTCGAACTCTGGAGGCATCCACCAGCAGAGTAGAAAAGGACATCGGTCTCGTCTACAAGTTCTCAGTTGATTTGGTTTTGCTGGAGATGCACTTGCCTTCTAGAGGTTCCTGATTTAACTAAGTGCCTCTCGGCGAGAGAGCCTGCAAGATGGATGTTTCTGGTTTTGGATTGCATTTCTACAGTCAAGTGGAGACGAAATGGAATCTGCGCAAATTCGAGAGTCTCGAGGCACCGAATACACCTCTCTGAGGCATGAAACTTGCGCCTGAGAAGTACCTAGCAGTGGCGGTGATCGATTGGATAACACAGGCAAGAGGCACCAGGAGCGACGAGGTCGTTGAAGATACATATGGTACGAACATGCATGCATTGACATAAGACAGATTGAGAGTGAGAAAACAAGGTGAGAAGTGTGGATTGATGAACGTAAAAGGATCCTTCCAAGATGATCAAGCCTCTGATTCCAACCTTCAAATCAAATGAACGAGTTAGAGGTTGGGGTTCAGAACGTCCAAGATGCACTCCTTAAAGTAACAAGGTGGGTGATGGCGAGCGCAAGATACCATGGCATCGGGCACGAGTTAAAAGAAACCAAGCCCGTGCTGAGAGGTAATTCGTCCATCGGTAGCTTCATCATGCTTCAGAGTTTGAAAACTCGGAAGGATCAATGTGGGAACTGCTGGGGTGACGATTGGGTTGCGTTTAAATAGTGCTTGCCGGCTACCACAAGTCGGCCTATGAGACTGCGCCCACACCACATGTAAAATTTGCATGTATATATGTAATAATATATTGCATTAGGGGTATGACCCGGCCCTGAAGTGTCAGGGCCGGCCCCGGGGCCGATTCAGGCCCGGCCTCGGCCACGCAATACTCAAGGATGCTGCCGGGCAGCACCGGGCAGGCCCTGGCTCGGACCATCCCCTTGAAAGCGTGTTTGAGAGCTCGGGAAGGATGCTTGATGACGTCAATTTTTCCAAAAGATTGCCTCCATAAAGATTTTTTGCGACGGCCCCGGCCCCGAGTAGCCCTGTACCGGGGCCTTTTTTGCTATTCCCAGGCTGGACTTGAGGCCCCGGGCTCGGCCTCGACCTCACCTAGAAAACGCTCGGGCACACTCGGCCGGTCAGGGCCAGGGCCGGGTCATAGCCCTATATTGCATACATACTACATACAAGTCGGTTCTGGTTACAGGTGCATATGTACCTATGTAGTTCTCCTACCCGTACGTGGCAAGGCCGGCCTGGCGAGTCCTGGCGGCGCGACCATGCCAGATCTGCTTGAGGTCATCTCACGTGTTATTCTCCTTCTTTATCGAACCGACTCAGAATTGAAAGGTCTTGATCAGAATCGCATTGTCATAGACAATTGGTCAGGCCATCGGCTACAGAGCAGCACGTCTTTCAGGGTACAACGCTGGCCGTCCATCCAATTACATGATGAATACCAAACCCTCCAGCTCATCCAACAGGCTTGCACGCGACCGACTATACATGGGCTTTCTAGCCATGCATGCTGTAGCTACAGTTGTGATTGGTAAGTTGGAATGGCTTCCCCAATCGAAACATCCTTGAGGAAGTGGCGTGACTTACCAGAGGTTGGGTTGGGTTCGGTTACGTCTCTTGTCAACGTGTTGAAAGATATCCAGCCTGTGATGCCCCCAGCGATAATTCCTTCGGCCTTCAAAAAGCTCCTAAATTGTCAGTCAGTCCTATAGCGTGCGTTGACCTATAACCACACAACTTGAATACAAAGAGCTGACTCTTACAACTCAATTTGATCGCGCAGTCTACATCACCATCTCTAACGATCCATTGATGATGGGCGCTAGCTCAGGCACATCCAATCATTTATGGTTCCGTTGGTTACTTGCTCACGAGTTTATCTTCTTCCTTCCGACGTATTTCTTTGGAATCGTGGGTCTATGGAAAGGTCAGACATACTCACTTGCCAAAATCTGTATCAAAATGTATCTATAGTATCTTTCTTCAGGCACTCAATAAATTGCGTGAACCGCTCTTAGACGATTTAACTATTTACCCACTCCTTTTGGCCTATGGTGCAGCCGCATCAACCACCACCGCGACTTGTTTGATAGACCTTCTGTTCGGGTCACATGATAGTCACTTGACCCCTAAACAGTTACTGTTTCTTCTCAGTTCGTACGGTAAGCAGCTCTATATTTCCTCTTGCTCTGATCATGTTCATCGGCGCCGTAGGTAGTTCTGACGAGAATTTATACTCCCGACTTTATGCTGTCTCCATGCCTTGTCTTCAACCATAATCTGCTCGTGACCAAATCATCAGTGCCGTTCTTCTTACTACCCTTGATAATCCTCTTGGATATGTACTTTCGGATTTCTACTCTCTTAAGGGCTTCATCCCACAAATTGAAAAATCTATGAAGGAGCCGTGAGTCGGGGAAATTCAATCTTATAAAGTCACGGTTACTCTACGTGATATCCGCAAATTTGTACATCTCTCTTGGTAGCCAATGACACGAGCTTACTTGCATTGCTGATCACAAATGCCCACTGGTAACCATCAAGCAGAAAAGCCCTTTGAACATGATAGGTCATAATGTTGATCATAACTTTGTTCAAACCCCCTATCTATCGTGTTATGTATGTGCTGTGCTTACAAACTACATAGGTATTTACTGCAATAGCTGTGTACCAAGTAAGGAAATAGGGGGTTTCAAGTTGGCTTTTTTTGCGTATTTTTATGCTACAATAACTTGCCCATTGTTGTAAGATATGCATAAATGTTTTAAAGTGGGACACCTAAAAAATTAAAAATATGTTGGTTTTACAAAGATTTTTTTACAAACAACTTGCCTGGATTTATAAGATTATGCAAAAAAACCAAACTTGAACCCCCCTAATATATGATTTTTTTACTTCTTCCTGGAGCTCTCACAAACTTGCTCCAACTTCCAAGAAAGATAAAAATTAGCAAGCCGTACTGAAGACAGACTCAAAAGTATGCAATTGACACCTTTTTCTCAAACTCAAATTGCAAAAGATTCTTCATGGAATTCCGCTGCTTATTTTCCACATGATACATGTTGCAGAAGGCATTTCTTTGCTAGAGGGCTAAACTTTGATTGCCAGAATTGTTTTGGAAGCAAAGGCTAAGCAGCACATCCAAATATGCAAAGGTGATCTAGAGTTGGTAATTTTCCAGTCCAAAGCTTGTAAGGAGTTTTGTAGCCAATACGGGCTACAAAAATTTGCAAGGTAAACCCTGGTAGTTACCGCTACTCCCCAAAATTTGCTAGGTAGGATTGCATCTATGAGCATACAACGTGCTCTGTGGGGTCTGGTGCAATTACCACGCTCCAATATGGGGCTCTGTTGTGGTGTGTATGTAAGGGGCAGAGATATTGGAGGAAATGGAATTGTTGCGTAAATAGGAAGTAGATTTGCTTGATAGATACTCCTTGCCGTTATCATTAACAAGAAGTTGAATGGGCAACCCAAGTTTTTTCTTGACAAGGTGTTTGAATTGCATGAAAAAGGAGAAAGTTTCCAATTTATGCTTAATTATATACATATGTTTGTACTTAGTATATCCGTTGGTTTTGAAACAATAGCAACCAACATTCTGGAGAAATGTGACCACTGAGATCACTGTGGACCACTTCTAAGGGGGCAGGCGGACCAGGAACCAAAAGGAAAGTAATAGTGGATCTCAAAGTTGACCTGGTTTCAAAAAAACATGGTTGCCCCAGTTGCTTTTTGGCGGTAACTTTGTGTATCAACTTGACATTTGTTGACAACGCACAGCCAAAACTTCAACTGGGTCAACTGGTTTTTTTGAAACCAGGTCTACTTTGAGAGCCACCAATGGTGTTTACTAAATATGGATGAGGGGCATGTAGACAGAGGAGGCAGAGATGAATGAAACAGCATAGTCATGTAACAGTGATTCAATTGTCCTAGGCGCCTGTGTAGAAGGATTGACTTGGCAGAAGGAGAAGCTTTTCATGTAGATAGAGCTAGAAACTTGCCATGGGAGATGTTCAGGACAAAAATCCCATTAGTTATGGTCCCTTCAAGAATGGTGGTGTTTGAGGTCTTGATCTCAAACTTATGGTTGGCAGAGTTTATGAGTTTAAAAGCTTTTGCGAATGATTGAGACAAGCTGATCAAGTTGCTATTGAGGAATGTAACATGAAGGGCATTGGTAAAGGATAATTCAGAGTTGATGCCTTTGATGTGTTATGGTAAAAGAAGGTGTTAAGGTCAAGTACATCATGGGTCAAGTAGTAGGAAGGAAGAAGGGTGAACAGCAGGATTCAGGTTTCATGGAGAAGGTCATTGTAGGAATGAACTTACCACTTTGGGATCAGGAGTGTAGAGTTGAACTGGGAAGGTGTTACGTTGTGTTGAGCTTATTGACGCTTTGAGAACAGGTGTTACATTATATTCATTGATTCTTTGCGCCATGTTCCCTTTCGGGTTAGTTGTTACATTTGTCTGAATTTTTCTCTCGTTTCCATATCATCATTGTTTCCTCATATACCTGGCTTCTCTTGAGCTCTGAGTTTGTTCCTCACTGTTAGGAACGTGTCAACTCAGAGTAAGCCTTTTTCTCTTTTACATTAGTGTTCTAGTCTTTTTACTCACCTCCATCATTAGCCCTTCCGCTGCTTTTGATCCCTGCTCTGTTGCAGGTAAGAGTGTTGATTTACTCCGCTCCCAGTTTTCATCTTCAGTCCTTTGAGTCGTACAACTCACGACTAGACCTGTCTGTCCAGGTGAATTGTTGTTCTTTGCTACTAGTTTCTCTTTCTCTACATATTTCCTTCCTATGTCTTGGAAATATACCTCACCGTTAGGAACGTGTCAACTCAGACCCTTCCGCTGCTTTTGATCCCTGCTCTGTTGCAGGTAAGAGCGTCGATTTACTCCGCTCCCAGTTTTCATCTTCAGTCCTTTGAGTCGTACAACTCACAACTAGACCTGTCTGTCCAGGCTTCCTCTTTTTCACTCGATCACGTAGAATACCTTCCGTGTTGTGTAATTTCATGATGACATCCATACCCTTTCCAATGGCTTGGATGGAATTACCATCCACAAGGACACTCTTGGAGCATTCTGAGTAGGACTTGAAAGAAGCTTGGTGTTTGCACAATATAGTTATAGGTGTGCCACTGTCTAGTAAATTCAAAACTTTGTCCCATTTCTTCTGGACTGCACCAAGGAGAAAAGACATCATAGCGGGAGGACCAGGAGGGATGAGTAAGGTGTTGTTTGTCATCAAGCTAGAAATGGTGGAGGCTGTGTTGGTTCCAGATGAGAGACACACTCAGCTGTGTAAAGCTCCAAGTTCCACAAGAGAAGGATGTGGAAATGGAGCTGATGCTGAGTGTCTGGCTCTTACAGCAGTCCATTTGGCACTGCGTTGCAGTTGTGCCACGTAGGTGTGAGACAGCCTACAACAACAGGCACACTCTGTTAAAATCTGTCAGAGCAGGGAATGATAAAGTTCAGAACAGAAACTTTGAACTATCAAAATCCCACAAGTTTGAGTTAACTCACCTTTCACCCAAGAATTAGTTAGAAGATCTTGGATCAGTATTGATTCCATCACAATAGAATAAATCTAAAATATGAGAAATGAGAAACATAATGAAAATACCCACCTGTCAGAGTGGGGAATAAGAAAGTTCAGAACAGGGCCTGTGAACTATCCAAATCCCACAAGTTTGAGTCAACTTACCTTTCAACCAAAAACTAGTTAGAATATCTTGGATGAGGAATGTAGACTCAAAACTTTGCTGCTCTTTGAGGTTTAACAATGAAATTCTTAGTGATACATAGGTTTAATATGATGACAAATGAATTATAACACAACAAACATGACAACACTACATATGTTGATATTAATGTAAATGAGATATGTGATGATAACTATACAGTAAATTTTCTACCTTGTGAAATGTGATATGTGACAAGAACGGACCCTTATACTTCAACACACTCAAGTGAGAGTCTGTGTACATGCTGAGTTCAGGAGTGGGGTTTGGATTGGTAGTCATGGTGATGGTTTGGGTAGGTGTAGCTGGTATGGAGGTTGAAGTAGCAAGTTTTTCACTTGATTGCTGGTGGCTAAGTCTTTGGTAGGTGATTGATCTAGTTGATTGTTATTGTCAAATAGTAATTCAGGAGTGCTAGGTAGTTTCTCTCTTTTGGGAGGAGGGTCACTCATGGAGGTAAGTCAAGAATGTTTGTAGAGTAGATCTGGAATCATAACCTATAGAAGTTCATGTGTTGGAAGAGAACAAAAGATTCTCAGTAGCCTGTAAGAGAACACAAGTGCAATGCAAAAGAAGATGTACCTTTGGAAGAGCACAAAAGGTTCCCATTACTCTGTAAGAAAACACAAGTGCAATGGGAAAGACAATGTTCCTAATGGTACACAAAACAAATTTCAGAATGAATTTCTTTATCACCACACTACTACTATTGAGAACAAACATTTGGAAGAGCACAAAAAGCTCTCAGTATTCATGTAAGAGAACACAAGTGTGATGTAAAGAAGATGTACCTAATGCTACACAAACCTGTAAGAATAGATTAGAAAGATAACAGCTAGTTGTGAACAACATTCATTCTTCTAGTGAGTAGCTTGCATAAAACCAAGGTACAAATTTATAGATCAAGAAGCATACAAAATTCTATGATGTCAGAGAAGAAATGAAAGTGTGTCATAGGATATCTATAAAATCAGACCAAACTTCAGATTCCAGTCCTCAACCTGAGCTTAGAAACTATGTACAGTCCCCTCCAAGTGATTTACGTGATCATTCAATTTTTGCAGCGGCGCAGCCAGGGTTTGTCCTGAACCCAATGATTACAAATCCTAGGCGTGGGGACGTGTACTATGATATCAGAAATCAAGTTGAGGTGAAGTTTTTCTGGGTATAACCATCAGTCAATCTTGCTTTGATGATCAAAGAATTCTTAACAGAATGGCTTTATTCAGGTATAGAGAGACATCATTGTGACCATGAACTCCAAGAAGAAGATTTTGTCACTTCACCATAGATCAAACTGGGTTTCTACAAAGCGGAAAGGCACTACATGGTCAACTCACCAATGGGTAATGCCTCTTGGGGGATTTGATGTCTGGATTTGGCTTTGGTGTTTCTAATCTAAGTTCTGGTTTACATTCATAAGAATACAAAGAACCGTAGGTTTTCTGTGGCACAACTTATGAACCCCTACAAAGTTTTCTGCAGGTGGCATATACTGATGGAAAGCTGGCAATTATGACTCATATGGGCAGCTATCATGATAGCCCTACCAGAAGTGGGCACACATTAATCCACTTGATATCAAAGACACAATGAACCAGACACATACAGCCTAAGGGGATCTTCATCTCAGGAGCTCTTTACAATTTTGAACCTGCAACATATTTGTTGGTAGTGTGATCAATGCCATCCAACCTAAGTGAAGCCCCATTTGGAAGATCATTTTCAAGGGGTTATCCAAGTTGCAAGTAATTAATTTGTGCAGGACTGGTTTAGATTAAGACTTTCTGCAAGGTTTTTATGTGTAGAAGCTTTTGCAATAGCTGCATGTAAACCCAAGTCTGCAAGCTATTCATCCCAGCACCTGAGTTGGGAGCAAATAGTTTCATACATTCTTACATCACTATGTACCACAAGTATCTTACTTTGCTTTACTATATTCTTTAACACATCTGTTCCTGAGCACATCAGACAAATAGACTGTCAAAAAAGTCCAATAATTATCTGACAACAGATGCAAAGATACCTCCTTGATTCAGAATCTTTAGTCCTGTGTTTCAATCTTCAAAGCACAATTATGTGCATTGAAATCTATCTTGATGTATCAGGCCACATTGATTCTTTGGAACCAAGTTCAAAACTGAATCTATTCTCTTGATTTTTTTAACTATATTACATTTATTTTGATAGGCATTTCACAAGAAAAGAGAATCAAATTTGATCTCCTTGACTCCTAATCTAAGCTCAGAGAAACACCATATACTACAAGATTACAAGACTTTTTTTTGTTCTTTGACCATGTTTTTCTGCATGTACCATTACCAAGTAGCTAATTTCCACTTTGTTAAGCAAAGAATGATCAACAGAATGGCTTTATTCAGGTATAGAGTGTCATTATTGTAACCATGATTGCCAAGAAAGTGATTTGAATTTGACTTCCAAGCTCAGAAAAGCCACCCATAGCAGACTATGAAGAAACACCATATGTCAATATATAAATTTTCAGATAATAAGCTATTCATTATCAACTCACGGATGGATAACTTCCCTCGGGAGATTTGATGTCTGGCTTTGGTGGTTCTGCCTTTGGTGGTTCTGGCTTGGGTTCTGGCTTGGGTTCTGGCTTGGGTTCTGATTTACATGTTGGTTTACATGAACATTGGCATGTACACATTGAGTCGCCCTATAGGAAGAAGATGGCATCATTTGTATCATAAACAAAATACTGATACGTCAAGCAGCTATGCTCAAGATGATTACTTACTGACTCAAATTTTCCAGTACCCTCAGATTTCGATTTACTCTCGAGTTTTCCAGGACCATCAGTTTTCTGAACCCAAACCAAATGTGACATGAGTATATCTATCACATATTTGAGAAGGAAACAGATCACTTACTTCGGCACCTAAAGTTTTCTGAAGAATTCAAATAGAAAATAAATGACCATTGAAAGCATTTCAGTGATCTTATTTCTTATAAGACACGACAAAAGCTGAAGAGATTATATAATCTCACCGATCCAATACCCTCTAAGCCCGGCTTCTTAGCAGCTTCACCCTCTGTCTTTTTGGCGTCTTCACCTCCAAGTGGTTTGGCCCCCCCTGGTGGAGTAGCGACTCCTAGTGCAGATGACGGTTCCGCAGGTGCGGAAGTGATGGTAGAAAAAGAGATGGCCAATAACAGTAGCGTGAATTGAAAAGAGAGACGCATCTTTTATTGAATTTGGAGTTCAAAGTACAACTATTAACACTTTTGAACCTGAGAGTCTGTTTTTAGTTAGAAGTCTCAACGTAAAATGCTCTACGAAGAAATCAAGCTTGGTAATTCACAAAGAAGAAGACTAGTTATGAAGTTATTTGTAAAGAAAAAGATATGTGATGATCAGGACGGCTGAATTTCGAGATCATAGAAGCTCATCCTTATATAGACAGCCTTTCTCTCTGAGCTCGACATCGGACAATCCATCACCTACCCTGATGAAGCAAATGTTGACTGTAAAAGACCCGATCTCCCACTCCGGATTTGTTGAAGTCTTTGGGAATGATGACAACCGCAACTCTCTGGACCTTGGCCGCCTGGAGATCGTACCGGGTTATATTCGGTCAATCGGAAAGATAGTGTCTCCTCGAGGTTGATAGCTTTGGCTTCCTGGATACTTCATTCGAGCTCGTCTGTTACCAGAAGGGAGACAACACGAACTCTGCTTTGAGGCGAGGTTACCAATTCAGGGAAAAGCCACAAGGTTGGATGATTCAGTGAAACTTAGGTTGATGAATAATCATCAACGCTGACTCGCACAAGAACTCGATGTGACATATATCCAAACTCGTACCACCGATACACGGTTGTGAGTGATCAATGAGAGTTCACAAAGACAGAAAACACCTTCATCAGTGTGTGACTATGGGATTGTGGTTAAGCTAGCTTCAACATGACATGCACTCAAATGTATCTTATCGTCAGGGAGGGACATTGATAAGTTCAAGTCAAATTGAACTCGGCCAAACTTAGCCTTCAGTATTCATCCACATTGAAGGCAAAGAAAATCTCAAAAGACGCCCAGCCGGACTCTTCTGTCCAATAATGAACAAAATACTATGAGATTCATGGAAGTAACCTACTCTGACATGGACTCCCGGAAGAGTTTCAAATGGGCGTGCCTGAAAACTGGATCAGAGTCAATCTAAATCGTTTAAGGTGTACTTCTTGGCCTTCTGCGAGAAAGAATTGAGCTTGTTCAGTTAGTGTGATATGCAATTGAGCTATACACACTTTTTTGAAGGCTGCACGAGTTGGATATAGTTTGAGGGTTGAGAACATGAAGTGGGTTAAGCATCTCTTCACAAAGAACCCAATGCAGCAAGACACCCAAGGGGAAGAGCTCAGGGTGATCCATCAAACAAGATTAACTCAGGTGTCAAACCACAAATGATTGATTGAAATTGTTCATGTAACATCAATGACAAGAATGAAAGTCTAGCACATCAAATGAAATAAAAAGAAGGAGATCCAGGCAAAGTCATATAACCACATCTAAACGTCCATCTAAAAAATCCTCAAGATGCTATCATGATACAATTTTGAATAAAGATAGTCCCTGTGATTTGAAGTCCTGTAATTTTCCAATTGTTCTTTCATTAGGAAAAGAAAAACATAGATGAGATCAATTCAAGGCGGCTGTTCCGTTTGTTGGATTTCCTAAAAAAACAGCTAGCTAATCCCTTAAAGAAAATGAAATTTTTTCATAATGTCCTGTAATATCGAATATGTAACAAGATCCAAATACTATCATAAAGAGTATGAGGTCACTTTCAAAAAAATACAGTAGATGATCAAATAAGTCCAAATGCTTCCAAAAAGATGTGAAAATGATAAGAGAGAAATGAATGCAATAATGAATTAGAAGAGGGGTGATTTTAAGGATGCTTCTGAATTACGCATGTCTATCTTTACTTTTGGATTCATCCATCTTCACTTGGGACTAATTATGGTCGGCTGTGCGCGCCTGTGCTCCAAGAAAGATGTATAAGTCAACATGAGAAGTAGATGATAAACTGTAGGGATGAAAGAAGTATGAACTCAACTCCGACCAAGTCAGCTTCAACCATCTCTCTAACCAAGCTGTCAAAGGAGACTTTGCGTTTCCAACCCAATTCCTTTTCAGCCTTTGTAGGCATCCCATGCAATAGCTCCACCTCAGCTGGTCGGAAATACATCGGCTGGACACATGACCAAAGAGCACGTCAGTAAACATGTCATTCAGAAGGTCGCAGATCGAGTCGGGTTGAGGAGGAAGCAACTCACATCAACTCTGACAAGTACCTTACCAGACTTCGCATCCACTCCGGTTTCCTCTAAACTATCTGGCACACCCTCCCATTTGATCTCAGTCCCTACGACTGCAAATGCCTTCTCCACGAACCTACAAATGGAATTATTCTCAACTTAGTAGATCTTAAGAAAACAAGATCAACAAATATTGCTTACTCCCGGACCGGATGTGTTTCACCGGTAGCTAAAACATAATCTTCTGCTACATCTTGTTGTAACATTCTCCACATGCCTTCAACATAATCTTTGGCATGACCCCAATCTCTTTTGGCCGATAAGTTTCCAAGGTAAAGGCAAGACTGCAGACCTAAGCTGATCTCAGCCACTGCTCGTGTGATCTTACGAGTCACAAAGGTTCTTCCTCGTCTTGGAGACTGATGAACACAAAGAAAACACGCGCCGTGAGATCACCAGGATATAGATTATAGAGGATATATTGATACGACTTACCTCGTGATTGAAGAGAATTCCATTGCAAGCATACATATCGTAACTCTCACGATAGTTCTTTACGATCCAGAACCTGGAAGATAAATCAAATTAGAGGGAAAATGATCGATTGATCAGCTAAATCTCCCCCATCAAGGTATGTCCGGTTGTCAAAACCGATCGCGTAAACAAAGATGATTGAAAAAAAGACAAAAACAGTCGTACCCATAAAGTTTTGCAACACCATAGGGACTTCGAGGATAGAATGGAGTTTTTTCAGTTTGAGGAGTTTCAACCACTTTACCATAAAGTTCTGAAGTAGAAGCTTGATAGAATCTAACATGTCGAGTAAGACCACAAGTACGAATCGCATCAAGTAATCTCAAAGTACCAAGTCCATCCACATCACCAGTATATTCTGCCATATCAAATGACACTTTAACGTGTGATTGAGCAGCAAGATTGTATACTTCTGTTGGTTGGGTTTGGGAGATTATGTAAACGAGATTCGTCGTATCGGCCAAATCACCGTAATGGAGAACCATTTTGGGGCCTGTTTGTAAAAGATGAAGATCGGGGATTCATCAGCGATGCATGAACGAGGCATGAGTAACTCTGATTAACTTACGTTCGTGCACATCCTTGTAAAGATGTTCGATCCGACCAGTGTTGAAACTGGATGATCGGCGAATGATACCGTGTACCTCGTACCCTTTATCAAGAAGGAGCTCTGTGAGATAAGATCCATCTTGCCCAGTTATACCTGATTGAACACATAAGGTCAGTTCATTTCAGAGGTTTACAAGATGGGTAAACAAGATGGAAAAAGAAACAAACCAGTAATCAAGGCGACTTTGCGCTTGCGATACTCTTCAGGCGAGAAGTTGGAACCTAGGCTCCTATAAATAAGGTATGTGGTGCAAGTCAAGAGTTAGATAGATCACGAGAGATATGAAAGGCGAAGAGACTGACATTGGTTGACTGGCATTAGCAAGGGGATGGTGAGTGACTTGTGACATGGTAATGATTATGTTAGATGCTAAAGATGATAATGTTGAAGATAATGATAATGATGTTGTTGATGTTAATGTTAATGTATGATGATGTTGAGAATGATACAAATGGTGATGATGATGATGGTGGATGGTGGTAGTCCTGCTGTTGTTGGTTGTGGTGCCAGGTGAGGTGACGTGGTGACGTAGTGATGGTTTTGAGTTGGTGGTGATGGTGAGTTCGCGCACTAAAATTTGAAACTTAAATCTAAGATCACTTCATCAAATTGCCAGATTGAGCGCCTTCCTTACAAATGGTGGTACTCCCGCTCAGTCACGCCAAATCTCGATGTCTACCTCTCAGATGCTCAGGAGGATTCCCAAGTGGCGCTGCTATGCCACCCATGCGGATATAGATATGGGAGTTACGAGATCGTATTCTATCTTGATTGTTTTGCCGCCGCTACATACGCTTTCCTTTAACAATTGCCAGGGATTTGACGACGACGTGAGCTGTTGACAATTGTGAAGTGCATTACTGGTGCTCAGCCAAGTATTTCTAGCCCTTGAGAAGGCGTGACACCCTCTCCAATAATTCACAGTTGCCAACACAAATACAGTCAAACCGGAAAAGCTTGTCACCAATTCCCGCCAATTTCCTCGAGTTTGGCGGGCAAAATCGGTCAAGCTTTTGCGATTTGACTGTAAGTCTGCGGGTCCAAGTGTGTTGAAGCCAAGCTCGAACTTAAAGGACGCGCGATTAGAACTAAAGGCACACAAAAGATGTGTCATGAAGAGATATACTCATGGAAAAGCAACAGATTCAGCAAATATGGCCGAACTACTCAATCTTAATCAAAGCACAAGGATCACGTTGATGAACTATATGTTACATCCTAAGCAATGCATCTTAAGCAAAAATGCCTGACATCTAAATGAGAAAGTACCTTCATATCAATGAAAATGATGTAAAAGAAAAGATGAAAGGTTTAATCGTTGCACTAGGAACTCTGAAAGAAGATGAAAATCAACATTGTCCAAAAAACTTAATATAGCCAGCACCATATACTTAAAAAAGGAAAAAAAGTGATGCTTAAGAAATTCTTTAACAATTTATCATATACAGTCCAAAATGAAAATTGTCAATCAGGTTTCTAGAATATTTACAGCAAAAAAACATAAGATGATAGAAAAGATTAATCATAAATTGCTAATGGAGGAATTCGATCTTTTTGAAATAAGAACTGAAAAAAAACCAAGTACCAGAAAAAGAAATCCATTAGTTCCAAATGTAAAGAAATCACAATCTCTCAACGATTCAAGGACAAGCAATCATAATTTAAAAAGATTTTCCTTACATTATTATTTAAATCTTCAGTTTCCATAAACCTAGTAGGAAACAAAACTAAACAAAAAACAAATCCCAAAAACGATGATCAATGCTTCTTCCAAAGAGAAAAGATTAAAAACAGATTCCAATCATACCTAAATGACCTTGAACTTCTTTTAAGAATTCTTCCATTTGATCACGTTCGAGTTGAGTAAAACCTTCTTCAAGGTTAGCTTTTTTTTCTGCTTTACTAATCGATTTCTTTCTAGGTTTAGTTGTATTATTAGTAATGATAGATGAATGTGTATTCATTTCAGAATGGTTTGGAAATTCCGATCCAGTATTGGGTGTTTTTATATTCGATCCTTCAGATGTGGTTGATCTATCAACTTGACTTAAAGTACTTGTTCCACTAAACGCACTAGCTTCTCTAACTCGCTCTTGATGTTGATGAGGTTGTTCTGTACGTGTTGATCCTTCTGTTGAGATAACTGAAGAATTTAACCCACCATTATTACCTACACCATTATGACCTGTACCTGCACCTTCATCTGATCCACCCATCATTTCTGTCACACTAGATGATCGATCTCTAACTGGTTTCGTATGTCGATTTTCCCATGCTTGATATTCTTTATAATTTTGCCAAGTCTTAACATTATCATCAGGTACACATCTAAATACTTTTCTAAGAATTTGTGTATTTCGACTAGCGACAGTAAGCCAAACTGATTTAAAAAATGAATCTACTAATGGATCTTCAAATCCATTGGGATCAATTTCTACTGGTGGTACTGAGATGGTGTATTGAGATGGGTTTACTTTGGCTCTTTTTGATAGATGTCTACTGGGTGCGATAGGTGGACTGTTCAAGAAATCATGATTGATATGACTCTGATGAGGTGTATTAAGATGAGAGGGTAGATGACCTGATAGTTGAGGAGTTTGACGATTGGAATCGGGTTGCGGTGAAGAGACATCGGCCCGATCTCGGCTCGAGCTGTGATGCTCACTGACCGATACGCTAGGCCCTCGAGCGCGTCCTGTCAGAGTGTCGGAACTTTGGTGTTTATGCGACGATGACGCAGTGGGCTCCCCATCACTAGCAAAGCTGATATTGCTGGTACGATCCTTCAAGTACTTCGGTTCCGAATTGACCTGTTCACGACCACCAGCACCTGTAGGATGCAGTAAACCCTGTGTGCGAGAATCATGAGCAGACGTAGCTGAAGCCATTGGATTTTCATTTGCAATCTTTTCCTCTAAAGTTGCAACAAGCTTTGAAGTAGGTTGCTCGCCATCATTACCTTCATCATTGTTCCCGGTAGATTGATCTTTGCCCTGTGCTACGGTAGGATTTTGATCGGCTTGTTCAGTCACAAGTTTCTTGGTAGTCTGTCGGTTTGAATTTTGAGTGGGTCCTTCTGCACTTTCGCCTCCAAGATCCGTACCCCCTTCTCCACGATGGATAGTCAGCTTATCTTTGAGATCGTTCCCAAGCGATTTGATTGCGTCCGCTGCACGGGCACGGTGTGATACCAGATGTGTAACACCTTGTCGTGCATCGGAATCTTGGCGCTGTTCTTGATCTGGATCCCACATCCCTGAACCAAGCATAGAGGTTGAAGTCTTCGCAGATGGACGAGTGAGCGGAACATCAAGCTCGGCACGAGCCCTTTCCTTTACACGCTCTTCATGAACTTGATTTTGATGCTCCATGAGTTCCATATTCGCTTCTTCAGCTTCGAGAGCGTCCACATCAACACCCAAGTGTTCTCGCATCAACCTGATTCGCATTGTATGAGCGAACCTGCTGACCTTGTATGGCTTTCCAGCCATAGTACTATCTATCATATCTGTATCACGAACCACGCAAGCAAGTTCCGAGTCTCGGTCACCTCGTTGAGATCGTTCATTGATATTGGCTGAGCCGATAATTACTAGCCGGTCATCAACGATCATAGCCTTCGCATGGATATAGACGCCCTCAGTTGTCAATTGTCCATTTTTTAGCTTACCCCAACCTCTCAAACTGAAGAATGTGATGTAATCATTCGGATCAATCCCTTCGACACGTAATCGACTGAAGATCGAAGTTTCTCCGCGACATATCGATCGGTTCTGACATTCGACAATGAGACGTACTGAACCAGCGGCATCTTCATTGAGAGGGGAGGGATAACCTGGCATAGTAGGAATGATTATGATAGCCTTCCAAGGGGTACCTTGCGCGTGTGCTTTGATGATTCGGTTCACTAGAGCATCCCCAATCTGATTGGTGATCACGGTCCCTTCGACGATACAGGAGGTGATGAAGAATTGATTCTCAATGTAAACAAAATGATCGCTTAGCTCGATCGCTTTGACGTAGGCAGTTTGGATCGAATGTTCGATCTTGGAAGGGGTACCAATTGACCAAGGCCCACAAGATCTACAGATCTGAGCTTCGCAGGTACCAATGATGCGTCGTTCAGAAAGCTCCTGCGGGGTGAAATCCGATGGTGGGATCAGAAAAGGCATCAGGCGAGTATGATTCTTGGTTCGTAACAGATAGTTCCAACGCTGGATAAAATGTCGGCATAAGTCCCGTGCTGGTTGACCAACGAGCTGTAAACCAATATCATGCCTGTAGAAGGAGAAGACGGCTTTGAGCTTCATTCATTGGCACTCATGAAGAAGAGCTATGCGAGTTCTTACCATGGCTGTCGAGGTACACGATCGCGATCATACATATCTTCTTCTGGTCGAGTCAAGTTGAAGAAATCCGAAACACGTTGATTACTATAATCCTTTCCGGGCCAGATTTGACCATCCTCAACGTCATGGGTCTGACGATCAAAATTCTCAACAAAATCCAGACCGCCTGTGGCATCATCAATCAACACATGGCCAGGAGAGTCCCATCTCCCAAAGCACAGATCAAGTCCACCCATGAAGGCAATGGTTTCATCTATGACACAAAGTTTTTCGTGATGCGACCACAATAGATTCCCGGTACCAGTGTGAGATGGAGATCGTTGTATATGAATGTTGGGTGAGAGTGATAATAGGCGACTCTTTGTATAACCTGACTCGACGGGTGTAAACCCATTGGATACCTCTTTATAGACGATTACGAATATTTGAACACCTTCGTTAGCCTTTCGTTGGAGCAATCTATCTAATCTCCATTTTTGGTTTAGAGCAGGTGGCCTCCTTAGATACAATTCTGGCGACTGAATGATATGAGCATGAAGCAATCAGATCATTTGATGCGTGAAAACACAAGTGGCAAAAGTGTGAGGATAAGATTAAAACAATGTACTGACCAACCACCAGTCATGTATATAAATCCGTTCCTTTGCCAGCAAGATGGCTTTACTTAAGTTCCAGAAGTAATCACGACCATCAATTAACCATTGAGCGGAGACATTCATGCGGATAGGTGCATAGCTGTCGAACCGGTTTTTGCCTGACCAGATAGATCGTGCAGCCATACGCTCAATAGAAGCGATGAATTGATCCATCTGTCTTTCGTTTTTTGCTGTCAATTTAACTTCTCGTTCTGAATTGATGATGTAAAATACATGCGAAGATGCATTTTGATGTTTGGGATCAGCCCCCATAAGATCCGTAGCCGAAGGGTCATTAGGATCGCTTTCTGTACTATGGCGAGTTGGCACAGACATGGACCTTCGTTTAGTTTTGTTTTTATTCTTGCCTTTGTTTTTGTTCTCTTCAGGTGAGTCGACGTATGTACTTTGAGGAATCGGTGGAGAGTGCTGCTGCTTTCTAGCGTCATGCCAATCTATTAAATGGATACCTTGCTTAAGAAGCCTCGTCGGCCGTTTCAACTGAAACTCGTCGTCCAACAGAAATATATCATAAATCTCCGTTTGGTCGGGTTCATCCACACAAATCAGATAAGACTCGCGGACAATGAACCATTTGGGTTCTCGTCGTTCTTTCCACTCCACAGGGTGGAATCCAGCCCGTTTACGACGTGAAAACGCGCCGCTTGACATGATGCGAAGGTACCCCTGTTTCCCTTGAAATCCACCTCGGTTTGCGAGAGCTAACGAGAGAGCCGATATTTCAAGAAACTTGCATAACCGGTTGGCCTCTGGAACGAACATCTGCTTCATGCAAAGGTCGTATAGAGATCAGCGTTGAATGTTACATCAGCGGCTGAGGGCAGAGTGCCAAAGTAACATACAGTTGCTTTGGTGAGCTTGAGTAAGTAATCTTCCAAACCCTCCCTTTGAAGCCTAGCAAATTCACCCTTGTTCTCAGCTTTTCCTTCGCGCTTCAAAAGATTGTAGTACGGTAAAGAAGTTTTTGGAAACGGAGGAAGCGAAACATCATTGGAGTTGCGAGAAACAATGTTGGAAGCCTTATAGGCTGCGTGAAGGTTGACAAAGTCTCGCAGCTCCCGGTAAATCACCCACTGTATTGTTGGAGGCAAGATCTATGGATGAGTAATTATAAGGAGAGTAGGCGTAGTATGATAGGACACGAAGGTATATCGCTGACCTTGAGTAGTCTATCACCATATTCGAGTTCTATTCGGAAGACAGCATGGCTAGCATGGAAAGGATGGATGCTGTCCGCAACCTTGAGCTTGAGGTAGTTCATCAAGATCGGGATCCGATGCTGGCCATGTTCATCTCTATCCATGGCCATCTTCAACATGATGCTGAGGGAGCCAAGATTGGACAGCGGCAAAAGCGATCATAAGACAACATTCGCATAAGCGTATGTGCAAAAAGACATCAGCTTGGTTTCACGAAAGAACAGTAGGAGGTTTGACTGACACTGGAAGCAGCCCGGTCGTCAGTTCGGTAGTCAGTTCGGTTCCAATCACTTGGGTTTTGACCTCTGCGGCTTTGGGTTTGCTTTTGATGAAGCCAATGACGGAACCTGGCAAGCCAGTTTCACTTCTTGCACGCAGAGGAGAATTATTCTGACTAGGACCAGCGGGTGAGGAGTTGGTGAGAAGTTTTGCTTTGACGGCCGACCAACCCTTAGAGGGTGAGGGTTGAGAGTTGATTCCTCCGGAAGATGAGCGTTCGAAGGTAGACGTATTGTTATCGTTTATCGCATCAGGAAGTGTGGGAAGCTTTGCGGCGGTTTGATGTGCTGGACTGCCAGCCCAATGAGGTGATGTGCCAGTGCTAAGGCGAGTAAGACTAGGTTGACGGGGAGATCTGGACTTTGGTTTCGGGGGTTCTTGATCGGATATAGGGCTTTGATGCTCGGAAACACGATGAGATTCAGGTGGTAGAAGTGTCTGGGCAGGTTTCTGAGTGATATCTCCCGAAGGCGCACTGGGTCTCTCTTGATTCTTGTCATTCGAGTTAGACTGATTTGTGGCGCTGATGGCGGAGTGCTCAGATTCTAAAGAATCAAGAGGTTTGTGCGCAGAGCTCGGAGGCGCTAGAGAACCTCCGGTGGGTGGTTGAAATTTGACAGAATCGGATTTGAGAGTGTTAAGCGTTCCGGACGATTCAGCCTCAGGGTCACCACCCGAGTCCGAGGTTGATGTATGAAGATTGGAAGATTGTCGACCGACAGGATCGTTTTGCGAAGGTTCAAGGGTTAGATGACTAGGCAAGATGTTGGTGGAAATGTTAGCCGAAGAGGAGGAGTCGCCGTTGGTTTGATTGGATTTAGTGAGATGAAGAGAAGAGGAAGAGTTATGGGATGTGGCATCGAGTGAGGGTTGAGGTTCGATCTCAGTATTGCGGGGTTTGACAGGTTCAGTTTCTGATAAAGCGGTACCAGAATTCTTAACGGAGATGGTCATGTTGAGTTGATGATTGTTTGAGGCGCGATGGAAGTTGAACGGCGAGTGATGAGAAGTTGCTGTTAAGCTAAAGAAGTTGCTGAGGATATGGCAATGAGAACTTCAGTCTCATTTAGGGAAGAACTCTCTCGTTTTGTTGGCTGTAAACCCCAAAAAAGAAAACCACCATCAAAGCGTCACGAGCATCGTCACGAATCGCTAAAGCAACAACAGTCTGTGAGCAATCTTCACACTCAAGTCCTTCCTCACAGATCTTCATCAAACATTCAGTCTTCAGTCTATTCGTTACTTTTCTTCAACTTTCAAATCATATCGATTTATTTCTGTGGTACCGACTTCTTCATTCGAACTTATGGGCTACACCATATCCCTTGCATGAGAAGTTCAAGTTCGTTTAAGTAACATTCAAGATTGCGCGAGGAAGAATCAACATATTTCAAGCTACTCGATACTTGAAGTTGTACATGTTTACGTAAGAGGCATGACCGCGTGGAAACGGATACAAATCATTCACTCGCTTATTCCACGGTCAGCCATACCAGAGCGTCATGCACACCCATGAAACCATTGCACACGAGAAACTCAAATCTTGGAATCATGCATAAAAGAAGGAAGAGATGAAAGTAACCCTGCAAAGGGATTCAAAACACCAGTGATGAGAATCAGACAAACACTCAGAGAGTCTACTACCAACTCGTGATTTTTCACAGCCAAATGTCCCTGCAGATGGTAGTACAATAACTACCACTGGGCTTGGTATAGAGTGCACTTTGTCAACCTTCAACACTTGGATGGGTTCAACCAGGACCCTGGAAAGCTCCTACTGAGGCGTCTGATGTAAAACCCGACATGATCGTGGTCGCCAATTTTTTTTTTTTCAAAACCTGACATTTTAGATCAGATGGCTAAAACGCTAAGAGCATCCGCACTCGTTTGCGGTTGTTAACTTGGTCACGTGCGGTAACAACCGCTACATTAAGCAAAAAATGACTTAACTCAGCCAAATTTCGCACTCGTTTGTGTTAGTAGCACTGTAACGTTTGTAACTTTACCGATAATGCATGTGCTCCGCAGTGGTCATGCAGTAAGGTAACATTCAATTTTTCAAGTACGATTTCAAGTTTAAGAAAACAAAGGCTATATTTGAATACATCTATTGATCTTGTGAAAATTATAAAGATTTGAAACTACACAAGAAAGATGAACAATCTGAACCAATCCAAACTTTTTTTAATGTTTGATTCAGCTTTTTTCAACTGTTTGGTTTGTATCTCTTGATCTTAAAAGTCTTCCAGTCATTAGTCTTTAGAATTCAATTTTCTCATCTATCTCTATACATATGTGAAGTCTGAAATTCTTCATATTGATTCGATTGGTTTGAAGTCGAGTTGAAGATTTTCAAACGACCTATTTTAGAACAAAAAAACAAAAAAAACAATTGTAAAAACATTGATTGGTGTTAAAAGGTCTTGATTCAATTCATGTGACTGGGTGAGAGAGGTGAAAAGACGATGTTTGTTGTTGACTTTGGTATTGGAGATTGGGCTGAGTTGAGTTTTTGGAGTTGTAGTTGCTGTGAACAGGTTGTGATGTGTGCTACCGCATGCGTTAGCCAATCGGTAGATTTACCGATTCGCTAACGCAAACTGATGAAAAATTAACTACCGCGGGGCTAATTGTTCACCGGTGCGGAAAAGACCCCGCGGTTGCGTTAAATTTAACCTTACCGCACGAGTGCGGATGCTCTAAGCTGGTTTTTTTAATTTTTTAGGTAGAAACCTGACTTTTTTCGTCAGATGCCTCTGAGCCCTGGTTCCGGCGGAAAAAGCCCCAAGACCCGAAGAAAAAGCCCCGAGACCTGGTTGAAAGCACCGAGGGCCCATGGGGCCCGCGCTGCTCAGCTCATCCAAACTGATGACCAGTTCACGCACGTTGACTGACAAGGGGGCAAAACATATAACACAGAGATATGCTTTTGGATTTAATTTCAAAAGCAATTGATTGTAATAAAACTTTTAAGTGTAATGAAAGGAATGACCAGAAGATCATGCTTCATCTTCATTTTCGCGACCCGATATTGGTCCATTGGCCTGTTGGCGTTGCCGTTCTTCAGTGTATCGGTTGATCAAAGTGTCCATTTTGATCGATTGAAACATATCTCGAATGACTGATGGCACTGAATAGCAACCATCAGCCACAAGTGCGAAGTTGGAACCGTCCAATGGCTTAAAGACGTAGATGATATCACTTGCATCAAGAAGACTAAAAGTCCAGGATGGAGACAATTCGGAAGTGGCCATGGCCACAGGCAAGTTGGGTTTATAAGTCAACACTTGCACACCCACATGTGAAAGCTTTTTCCTGGAAGCCAAACTAGTCACAAAAGCATGCTTCTTTGAAATATACTCATATACAATCACAGTGTGACAAAGAAGCATTGTCTGAAAAGGTTTGTCAATCAGCACCTGCGTCTACTCCATAGATGAGGAAGCCGCAGTGAAGATGGACTTACTCGATTTCTGATCGCTAAGAGGAATTTTCCTGGCTCAATTGGGTTTTCAGTCGTAATGAATCCCCCATCAAAAAGCTTTTGCAAGTCAACTTCTCAGCGATGTGAAGTGTTTGTGATAGCACCAGCCAAATTGATTTTGATTTGAATATTCCAGCGGTGTCTGCGTGCGGCACCAGTTGGTGTGCTCACTAAGCTCTTCATGTACACCGCAATCTCCTTTGAACATTCACTTGGATTCAAATCACCCGTTTTAGTTTTGTTGATGCTTTCTCCCAGCTCGTTGGGTTTGATGAGAAGTCTCTTGTTTCCTTTATGACGAGCAAGCTGACTATCGTGCATGGTTCGAATGTGAATAAGATTGAGGCCACAGAGCTTCCCTTCTTCAACCAATACCCAGCGATCTTTGTTGGCCTTATATTTAGCGGAATCGAGGCCAAGTGGTGGATCATCTGTAGAACATATGGATGTTAAGTCTTGTATGATCAATCACACAGTGTAATCACAGCTAAACTTACCAGTTGGATTCATTAAGCTGGCAATGGAGATTGCTGCGTTTTGAATGGCATCCGCTTCAACCTCGTCAGGGACTTGATTGAGCAAGAGATCAAGCTTGTTTTGCTCCTTTGCTAACAAAGCAGCTTCAGAAAACGCAAGCTCCTCAGGCCATTCACCTGATTTTGCACCATATCTTACTCGATAATCCTTTGTTGCACATACCGATACATCTACATTATATATGTGATTAGAAATCGGAAACTCAGTTGGATGATTGGTTTTGAATGTACTTACCCGGTGTGTCATCCTCATCCTCAATAGGGATTTTGAACTCCTCAAGCACACTATCAATGTCTAGCTCTTCGTCGTCTGATTCTAACGGACCCATTCCAGCTAACTCTGCCAAGCTATTGGCAATCTTGTTGGCAGTAGTGAGTTCGTGTGCGATTTCAGCATTTGTTGGCCAAGTCCGGAGGAGTTCAAAGTTTTCAGCAACTTCTTCATCGCCAAATGCATATTGATAGCCGGCATGCAAGTGCTCCGAAGGCGGTATTTTGATTCTGCCACCCATGGCACTTTTGACCACTGCATGGATTTTAGGCATCATAAATCGGGCATCCAGGACTGAGAAGCGTGGTGAAACTACTCGCATCCATCCAAATATATGCTTGCAAGGTTCAGTTCCATGCTTCCAAGGGCAGAGAGGGTATTCAGGATAGTATTTGCAATGAGCTATGATCAAAGCTAGAAGTGATATAGGAAGAGTTGAAAAAATTTTGAAGCTCGGGTGTGAAATACAATTTTGGTGAAAACTCATTAGACCATTGGTTTCCTTTTCGCGTTTTTGAAGGTAAGATTTCCAACGTCGTAGGAAGAAGCCTGCAGTCCACGCAGACCGTATACGTTCATGGTGACCGATCTTCTTGTTTAACCACAAATCAACCAATTCCCCAATGACATATAGATAAATTGCCAAACCGGTATTGTTTTCAAGCCGAAGTGCAGCGGCTAGAGTTGGAGCACTAAAAGTCCGCAGCGCACGACCATCATCTTGTTTATCAGAATCAAATACATCCTTGGGGTGAAGTGGAGAGTCGGCCATTTTAAGGATCTCTGCAAGCTGCTGGATAGTGACCGTGGAATTTCCAATAACCATCAAGCAAGCACCTGAAAGTAACTGGTTTGCACCAGTCTTTCGAGCGTGCTTGGGGTCTTGAATACTTATGATTGGGCGGGGTGGATTTCCAAAAAGTGGAATCTTGATATAAACATTGAGACTTGCTTTTGAATAGTTATAAAATTGGGTCGACTTTTGAACTAGCTTTTCTTGAGCAGAGAACTCGGTCGCAGCTCCGTCCGCTCCCATTGAAAGAATGTTGATTCCGGCCTCATGAGCAAGTGTGATGACCTTCTCGTGCTCTGATGCGATGTCGTCGGCTCCTTCATTTGATCGACTAGCAATGAGAGCTACTACATATGTTGGAACATTTGGGAGAGGTACCTGGATGGTATATGCTCGTATCTAAATCAAAATGAATCAAGATGTCAGCATATCAAAATACATAGATAGTCTATCATAGACTTTCTTACCTGCGAGCATAATTTGTCCTCCTTGACTATTTCCTCCACTAAGCTGCGAAGCTCCTCTGCATTTTTGAAGGGCACATCTGGCCCCTGTGCACCAACCAAGAAACCGTTGTGGTGTCGAAGCGTTTTGACACATACTGTCTGATCAGAAGCCGCTGCAATGGGGCCCGAGTAACCGAGGGTTGCCAGGTTGGTTGCAATTCGAGTGAAGTTGGCAACATGGATCCCAGGCTCCATTTTCCCACCTTCACGAGCTTGAATTTGACGTTGACTCCGTGCGGTTCGACCGGCAAAGGTTTTGGTGAACAGGTTGAGAGCGGAACGACTCATTGCTCCAAGTGTTGTTAGACAATCATCAAGATACGGATCCACTCACATTCCTCGAAGCGACTTGCCTGCATCTTCACGCTCTGCTCGCACCGTAACCCCCATGATTAATCCTTTCACAGCTTCACGATTCTTGAAGAGCCCTTTTTTTGCCAAGATAGAAACATGGTTTAAGTAGTTGCTAAAGTCTCCACCCTGCGAAGATTCGAGAGATTTTCCACATGTGCGAAGGTCATGGAACTCTACAAGTTTGGCATTATACGCATCAGTCTCAACAAGCGTGTCGTTGGTGAACTTGAGGGTATCAGCTCCAGCGTATTTGTGATTGATTGCACTGTTTAAACTTTGGACTTCTTTGAGTGAACAACACTTGGAGCAGGCCGTATTGGGATCGGATTTTCTGTGTATGAATGTCTTGAGGCACACCGGAGAGTAGATAGCGTTTCGAGACCCGTGCCGTTTAACTAGCCAAATAGCGCGTGCATCTAATGCGTCTAGAAATTTGGCCTTGTCGGCCTTCGATAAGGACTTTTCGGTAGCGTTCTCGCCAAAGAGCTCCTTGCACAGCTTGTGTCGTACATTACCGCGGTAAATTGTACAAGTATTCTCTAGAAAAGTTTCGATGCTCTGCGTTGCTCGTGATTGAATCCATGTGACATTGTTTAAACCAGGACATGCAATCTCAGAGTAGCCTCTTTTCAAACGCTGGACGACTGCTGGGTCCTTTGGCGTAGCTGAAAAGAAAGTCGTCAGGACTTTACTGGAACGAATATCGGCTGTCTTCTTGATACACGTAGCTGATTGAATCATTTGGCATATGAATTTCTGTTTTTTGGTAGATACGAATTGAATAACATAAATCAAAGCTCACCGGTTTTCCAGTGTTCTTGTGCTCCCTCAATTCGTCCACCGTGTAAGTTCTTCTTCTTCGCTCCACAATGGCACCAAAACTCTTTCCTCCTGAACAGGTCTTCAATCTTGCATCGGTCACACACCTTGCTGGGTTTTGACAGGGGACACAGCTCCAGTAAGTCGGAAACTGTCGAGACATACTGTCGTTTGGCGTTAGGTTTGACTTGGACCGGAAGCGAGCTTTTGGCTTCTTTCGGTTCCTCAGCATCCGAAGAGATCAGATTAATCTCGAGTGGTGGCTTTTTTGCAGGTATCAAGGTATGTGAACTTGTCGATTGCTTAGGTTCATCGCCATCTGAAGACATTAGATCGATCTCGACTTGTTGGCTTTGTTTGGCTGGGGGTTTTTCAAGCTGGCTGATGGAAGCATTCGGATCCGCATTGGGTTTAGAAACAACTCGGCGTTTCATTCCTTTGCCTCTAGAGGAGGGTGGCGGTCCAGAACCGGGGGGACTGTGTGGTCGGCAATCCATCCCTTTCTTGTTGATCAAGACTGAGGATCAAATACCTCATAGTCAGCTTATGTGCGATTACATGTTTGAAGTTTGCAAAAGGACAAGAAGCGAAAAGAGAAAAACATACCTTTAACAAGCCAGAGGATATTCTCCATCTTAACCTTGACCACTTGATCAGAATCTGACTCCCATCCAGGCGGCTTGACTAGTCTCCTAGCCTTATCGACCTCTGAGTCCCACAGATCATGCTTGCGAGCCTCGCCAAGCCACTTCATCACCAATTTGAGTCCATGAGGACCTTTTTGTATATGATTGTGTCCCTCTTGCACACCAAACAACGCATCCAGCTTACAGTTAGCTGCATACCACATACCCTCCTCTTCATATTCAGGAGGTAGATATGGTGCGCCCGAGAATTTCTTGTATATTTCATCGGAGGTGGTGGCCAGACGGATGAAAGGTGAACTTTCCGTCAAGAGGATGATCTCATCAATAACTTGATCAAGTAATGGCATGGTGGTTTAGTGTTTAATGGTTGGATATATTTCAAAATAACCTGAAACCTGCGGGAAGGTGCAATAGCAAAAAATATTGAGTGTGTAACAACATCTTAAGATCAAGAAATGGACATACCTATAGAATTTCAAGAAGGATGTGATGTGATAGTTTGTCAACTAAGTTTCCAAATGTGCAATGTTGAATGAATAAAGTTTGAACTTTGCAAGATCACTAAATCCAAGTCCTGGTGGTGGTCTGTGGTGGACCGTGGTAAATTGTGCTGTGTAACTCTACATAACCACAACTTTGCCGGTCACAGGGCTTTTTTTTCCTCGCCCCGTCTACTCTGAGGACTTAACCCGTCCTTCAAAACACGACTTTTCTCATCAGAAGCATGCGGCGGGACCACCAATTTCCCGACATGTTTCATCAGAAGCTTTTTTGCCAAAAAGCTCGAAAAACCCTCAAAAACCCCGAACCCGACATTTTTCATCAGAAGCATCCAAAATTTGGAAGGCCAAAACCCGACTTTTTTCATCAGACAGGCCAGTAGGAGCTTTCCAGGGTCCTGTTCAACCTGAGGTTTTCTAGAGAAACAAACCAGAGGTCAAATTGATACAAGCAACTCTACCATGCGTCGTCATTTCAGGGCATCTGGTTCTGCAATTTGATGTAGACTCGTCACTCATCAGCGTTTTGATCCTAACTGCATTTGGTGGAACTTATGATAAGTTTGCTTCCTGAGAATGGGCATGTTCACAAGCCCAGAACAAGATTCTGAGATTGGAAAAAGCTATAGAATTCGATACCACAAATGTCCATCAACCCAATAAACATATTCCTAATATTAAAGAGGTCAGCACGTTCAGACACACCATTACTAGGGAAATATGCAAGGCGCCATTTTCACTCATTATTTGATTGAATTCAATTGGATTGAATAAGAAACGGAAATCCGTCCATCTGATAATAATAATACAAGCTTGATCAACTAAAGACAAATCCTCTTGTAGACTTGTAAAACCGATTGCCAAAAATTTCCTCAAATTATGATATTTGAATCCTACGAGCTTCTTTATTTGGTTTGACTTTTGGTATTTTAACTTCAAGTATGCCATCATTAAAACTAGCTTTAATTTGTTCATAACTAGTTGTCTCGGGTACAGAGATTGTTCGAAGATATTGACCAAAGCTTCGCTCCGAAACCTAAATATCAACATGCACCACAGATGAGGAAATATATGCCATCAGCCGCGCTGCAGGTGTGATAGGGTAGCTCTTAAGATGAGGATAAGTTTACTTACCCTGACGTTTCCTTGTTGGTGTTCAGCAGGAGACTTGGTCTCAGTGCTGACTGTCAAGCGTCCGTCATGAAGTTCGATTGAGATCTCCCCTGTGAAGCAAATAGCCTCCAAGGATGATGAGTGATTCAGTAGACCCAGGATATAGGATAAAATGGGCACACATACCTTTCTTGGCGCCAGGGAGCTCAATAGTCATGATCATTTCATCACTAGTCTCCACAAGGTCGATTTTGGGACGTATAGGTTGACGAATCAGCGTGGTGCCCGGCTTCGTGAGGGGATTGAGACCATTATGATTGGAAGATTTTGGGCCTGGTGAGGTGGGGCCATATCGATCCGTTACTAGTTTATCAAACATTGACTCAAATTCATCCCATTGAGACGGGAATACTAGCGAGTAAGACATTGCTGTAGGCGAAGGAGAAGTTCAAAGTGAGAATGCTGGAAATGTGATGGTTGTGTATTGGGTTGTTGTCCGCGATGAGGAACAATGACAAAAAGCACAGGTGATGATTTATAGAATAGGCTAGGCATGCCATAGCAATGCGTTTAACAAAAATCGATGATGACATGTTTCCTTTGACGGTGCATTTCGAGTGATTTCGAGCAAAGGCTAGAGAAGGAGTTCCAGTTCGAGAACATACTTGAATCACATCACGGTATAAGCATATTTTGAACTATGTACAAAATGCTGTGATGTCATGACTCGACTCCTCGACCGTTGATGGTGGAAAAGTTCCAGAGATATGAAGAACAAATCTTGAAGTTCTGGAATTTGCTACGCAATTATCGAATGGAATCATGAAACCTCCTATCTATGAGCATGACCTGACTATATATAATACCTTTCCCGATGCCACCATTGGACGAACTCCAGACGAATATCTTCATCAAGAGAACATCACACCTCAAACTCACATCTTATCAACTTCGACGAATATCTTGCAACTCAACAAACGATAACCTCCAAAATGGCATTATTTCCTTCTCAATGGGATGACTTTGAATCCCTCTTTGACAAATTAGTCACTGATCGTTACGGTCCTGCTACCAATGGCTCTAGAACAAATGGAAATGATCCCAATTCTAATTCGGTGGTTCCACAAGGTTCAAGCATTGTTAAGAAAGTAATGCGGCCTAAGATGGACATTGTTGAAACGGATGACGCCTTCATTATGACCGCTGAATTTCCTGGCGCTAAAAAAGGTGAGGTTCTGAACTTTTTGGCTCTTTGATTAGACGTTCTTCTCCTTACTGATAAAGTCTGGGTCTTGTTTCATTGTCGTAGAGGACATTTCCATCGACCTTCAAAATGGCCGGCTCACAGTCTGTAGTGAAACTAAATCTTCAAATGAACACAAAGAAGGGAATGTGAGAGTAAGTAATGAACCAGCTGATACTCTGGTACTAATCATGTGGATTCACCAACAGCTCTAACAAATATCCCATTCTGCAGGTATCCGAAAGGTCTTTTGGAACTTTCTGTCGAACGGTAGCCGTACCACAAACAATCACTCACGATCAAATCAAAGCTGCCTTCAATGAAGGTGTACTTGAGCTAAAAGTTCCTAAAGTCAAAACAAACACCGAATCACACAAAATCCAAATCGCCTGAACCATGTTGTGATTCTTCACCTATTGGATTCCTTTTTGGCTTGAATCCTTCATTCTTCTTTCAAAAAAATTGTCTTATTATTCTTGTATGATGTGATAGGACCTCAACGCTCATCCTCAGCAGAGAGTTAAGAAGTACCAAACCATCGAATATTTTCCCTAATTTTGTTGATTTCCAGTTGTATCTTTTTAACTTACAAACCTGAATGAAAATTTCAACTTGTTTCTTCTCATCATGTCCTCTGCAATATATACTTAAGTTTGCAAGCTCATAGTTATTTGGGTCATGTACCTTCGGCCCCAGTAGAAAACCAGACAGGGAAGCCTCAGCCACATGTCAATCTGTGCTATGGTAAGGTGACAATTTACGTTCATTCAAGACAGCGCATCAAAATTACCGTGTTGGTCCTTGGCTGGAACCCTGTGGAGCCCCATGATAATCTCACATATGCCACTACGGCAAGTTTACGACTCGCATCAGAGATAGTCTTGGTGTGATGGACAGTAAATTAGTAATATATTTCAGTCACATTTGATGTTCTGACCAGAGCTTGCTCCCCTGGCCGAAGTGACATCCACCGATTCCAAACACTCCAAGACGCTGAGGGGCCCCACATGACAGAAGACGGCGTACTGTGGGCTACCGCATCAGGCTGTCCTCCCAATATAGATCTTAAAACTCTGTCATTTGACCCACTCCCAGGCACACATCGGCAGGCCATGGACGCATAACAAAATCCCACGTTGTTTATTCTCGTTCGCTGGATGGATGCATACTTCGGAACAGTGTATGTTGCGTTATAATTCGGCCGCGACTCTTGGAAGAGTCAAGTGGCACCAACTGTCCAGCTAAAACACGAATCGGTTCCTCATCATGCTTTATCCTGGGCCGCCGGCATCAGAAAAAGTAGAACAAACATTTAATAAAAACAAATACCAAAGGCGACGTCATAATCTATACACACATGGAGGCAAACTGTTACTCTTTTGAGGACCATCAACGAGACTTTACTCATATATTTTTAGTAATTGACTTTTTGAGAACAAATTTAAGATTTAAAAGGCTCAAACACGCGTACTTCATGAAGGGGTATGTGAAAATGAAAGTCGGAACTTGGAACAATCGGTACTAGAGAGGACCATATCCATCCAGGACATACATATTCAAGCTAACACCGGTATCGTTCGCTTCAAGCACCTACAGCATATTCGACGGTCCATAGCGTCAATGAATCAGTTCGAGGTTGAGTCTTCTTCAATGATAACAGCTGGAAGTAGAGCTGTCGGGTCGTCGCCGGTGGATTCCAATGATACTGGCTCGTCCATGTCAAAGATAGAGCTGAGCTGATCGGGGTCAGACTTCAAATCACGGGCGCCTTCAGCATCTTCCGTTTTATTCAGTTCGGATACATGAGTCAAAGGTTTCTTCTCCGTCTCCACTTCTGAACCACTCCCATCCTCATCGTCATCACCCATTGAGGCTAACCTCGCCTGAAGAGTCGCCAAAGAGCTTGTGTTTGCTGATGTGGAAGTCGAATAATCATGACCATCAGCAATGTCTTGTGCAGTTACTGGCGTCTTCAGTACAATTCCCGAGCCGGGCTTGGCGATACTTATTTTCCTAGGTGGCAATGGCTTCGCAGCGTCTATATATCATACATGAATCAGGTCAGTCAGGTCCAGGAGAGACATGTTACGCTCGCGACAAAGAACACTGACATTTATTGTTTCCCGCGACGTACACCAGCTTGCCACGGCTCCAAACGCTTAGATTGCCATTTCCTTCCCCTGGTACCGCACTAGTCTCGGAACGTTCACTGCGTTCCGGTGAGGCTGTCACTTTGGCACGAGACCAGGCAGAGGGGGCGTCCAATTTGGCAGGTTCTGAAGCTTCGGATTTAGATATCTCTTCTTCTTCTACCACTTCCGCCTCCTCCTGCAGTTTGTTTTTGACACGAGAGCTTCTCCTTTCGCCTTGAGGTGCTTCAGACTAAGGGTAGAATTCAGGGAAAGTTTCATAAATCAAGAGCAAACAAATTATCGTATCTGAAGATGCGCAGGCCAGAAGGAGTGAGCATTTAGCGAACCTTGCTTAAAGAGGATCCTTTTGATTTTGATTGGCGACATTTCTTCGCAAGAGAGTCTTTAGAAACGCTTGGGTCAGCGTCTTCATCTTCGTCAATGTCCATGTTATAATTATCTTGAACATCTCCGTCAGCCATCGTTTCGTCCCAAGATTTATCCTCAACCTCGGAATCATCATCGCTACGGGCAATCTTTCGTCGTTTACGCCCGTTTTGTTTACTATTTGAGCTCTCTTCTTTGACACCTTCGTCAAACTTTTGCAGCTCGCGCTCAAATTGTCGATCACTAAGATCTGAGTCGACTACGTAGTCGGGTTTTTTTGCTTGCGCGCGAAGTCTAGAGCTCACGCGACCCCCTAGAATGTTTGATATGTCGACATTGACGTTTTCCTTGACTCTCTGTTGTTCAGCAAGTCTTCTCTGACGCCGAATTTCTATGGCTTCTAGGCGAGCCTTTTCTTCAAGAATCTGTTGGACGCGCTGGAAAAGGTTCAAAGGGATGAGTTGCTTGTCAATGATCGACAGCAAATCACTATCTGAACAATATTGAGATTGGTTCTTGGACCTTACCTTCTTCCCATTTTCAATTCTGGGTTTAGCAACATCGTCGATGGCTTTGTTTAATTGCCACTCACGTTTGAGTTTTGGGTCGATTTTTTTGCTAGGTGATCCGTTTTTCTTACTTCCAGTCAAAAACATGGCAGGTACTTTTCCTTTTGATTTGACTGGTTTGCCATCTTGCCCTGCGTCACCGGACGAAGGGGACGGTAGAGGTAATAGCGAAGGATCGTTATCCAGTCGACTCTGAGCAATTAAAAATTCCTCTTGCGTGGAACTAAGCACATCCCACGAGCAATTGGATTTATGTGGATTTCCAGAGCAATAAATCCTTGGCGAGTCTGACAAGACATACCACATGTACCCAAGAGGAATCACAGTACTGGTAAATTGTCACGTATAAAGACATCTGTGATAGCAGTAAAGGTACATACCATCGATTTGCCACCAAGTTTTCATGTCGCGGTCAAGTCCCAATGGTCGAATCAAGAGAGGGTTTTCGATTGCTACCGGCTGCTCAAGGCTGGCTTTGCCAGTGTTCGTAGATGCCTTAGAAGAGGCCGAATTTTTCGATGGCTTTCCGAGGGCCTTCTCATAATTTTCGTCAACAATTGAGCGGATATTTTGAGAGTAGGACAGCTGGTGGTCCACGAGGGTCCTGAGTAAGTGAATCTGCCGAAGATTCAATTGCGATACAATGGGAATATCATTTTGTTTTAGTGCTTTCAAAAAACTCCTTTTGAGGTGCATCCTTGAGCCAAAAGTGAAATTGTGCGATTGGAATCATTAGAGAAGCATACCTTTTCCTTCCAATCCAAATTCCAGAAACCGTCCTGGCTAGTCTTCAGGAGGTTTTCTTGCCATTTCAAAAGAGCATTCGAAGGAATTTTTTCCTTCGCTTTTAAGACTGTGTCCACGTATTGGGACAACCAGCGTTGCCAATTGGCTGTGTTTACCAGCTTGAGGTTCTCGTGGAAGATCTTGATGATGGCTGTTAGTATGTCACGATCATTATTTTCGACCGCCTTTTCGAACTGCAAAAGTAGAAGTGTCGAGCCGTATATCGCAGCCATTCAGCCACTCATGTCGGTTGCATAAGCAAGATTTTTTTCTGGACGTGTAAAATTCACTCACATCGATGACGTTTTGTATTCTTAATGCAATCTCAATATCTTCAGATAAAGAAGTGAATTTGCATATGAAAGCCCACACGTACTGAGGGGGTAAATTTGTTTGAGGTTTAGGATTAATTGGAAGATATATAGGCAGTCAGGAGTCAAGTACGAAATTGCTCGGCTATCCCTGCCATCCCAGTGCGAAGTGCAGATCTTGACGATATATCACAGAACGTGATGTGGATTACAAAGGCACTTACTGCAGTTTCCCAACTTTCGCTTGGTTTGTCGAGTATCTCTGTCCTTTTAGAGGGAAGGTCAACAGAAGCAGGGGTGTTTTGCTGAACTGACTGTGTGATATTGAATGTTTGAGGCTCTGATGTGACTTCGGGAAGAAGCTGACTGGCTTCAGACATCACGGTGAGGGACATCCAATATGAAGCGATGTAAGAGGGCGCCTGGGGTCAAGCGACTCTTGTGAAGATGAGACTGTGCTGTGTGGCAACGAAGCACACAATAAATGAATAGACGAATGTAGACGAAGTAGAGTTGAAGGATAAAGCAGACTGGGTGTCAATTCCAGGTCGCTGAAGGTTGCTGAAAAGGCTGCGAAAGCGTGCAGCTTTAGGAAATCTAAATTGGATGTTTGTTGAGCGTTAAGGGAGAAGCGAGGAAGCTGAGGGCACGAGAGACGAAACTGAGTTCATCGTAAACAGCGGGGAATCGAGGGGGGCTGTCCTTAAATATCAAATATTCACTGCTCAACTACAGTCACGCTATTTACAACTCATTGACCACCAAAATAATAAAATACATTTGGTCGGCTCCGGATAAGTTAAAAGGTTACAACCACAAGACATGTGGTCAAATCAAGTGACACTTGAAGAACAAAACAGCCCTTTCATTTTGTAAACCTGATTCATCCCATGGTTGAAGCAATGGTTCACTTGGAACTTTGAGTGTCATCAAGACTTCCGTTACATTTTTCTGACATAAACTTTCACATACTGCATCTTCACAAATGCTTGTCCAATCAAAGCAAAAAAAGTTGCTGCCGGTCAGACCCATTTGTGAGCTGGATCGTTAATGAGGGTCTGTGCACGATCGGGGCTTCAGCTTTTGTAGCTCTGAGCTCTGAGATTTAATTTTGATGTTACTTGAGCGAAGATCCAGAGAGCTTCTGCCCAGCTACCCGATCCCCCCATCATCAATCCCATCAACCACCTATCACACTCCCAATCAGCCACGTCAGCAACACTTCAACTCAGGAATCATGCGTGAATCGTTTGAGTGTGATTTTGAGATCAGCATCTACACCAAATATGGCGACAGCAAGAATCCAAAATGGAGGCCCTACATCCTCAAAAGGGGTAACATTTTGTTAGAAATTAATCCGAATCAAATGTCATTTCCCGATCTACAAGCAACTGTCAAGCGGAAATGTAATAGCAATGACAATGAATTAGGGGACCTGATTATGACCGACTTTAATTCAGATGAGAAGCGCATCAAATGGATTGCAACAATCTCAGGTACAAGAGGTTGGTCAAAAACCCGAGGAAATCAGGTCCATTGTGAGGAACAGTTTCAAGCCTGGGCACATGAGGTATTGAAGGTATCATCTCAAACAGGTGGCCTTTATTTACTGATGGATAAGCCTGTGTTGAAAGTCGATTCTCAAAAGCGAGTGAGTAGTTTCCTTTTGGTCTTTTTCTGCTCCAAGCTGATTGCTTTCTCTCTTGTAAGAATGCTTCGTTAGCCTCAACTCGCCGCTTATGGTCTGTTGGAGATCAAAATAATGTCGGGGTGGGTGGCCAGTCGACTTTCCTACAATTTATACAATCTGATTCTTTTCTTTATACATCCAGAATATGGCCGATTCAGACAGTCATGAAATTGATCTTTTAGCCAAGGATCTTCAAGCTCAAAGTGTTGTACGACATGATTTGGATCGTTTTTTCCGTGTATATGAGATTCCTGGCGATGATGATGGATATGTGCTAATGTCACCGGGGAATGCTCAGAAATGGGCTAAAGAGATTGTACGTACCAATCATCGTTATAACACGGTTTTTATGACTGATCTTAATCTTAAACTTCTCAGTTGAACCCTACAACTCACGGTGTTTCACAGATCAGTCCACCGAGAGGCCTGCGAGAGAGTAAGAAAGGCACGCTCAAGAAAAAACGTATCCGAACGTCTTATAATCAAGGTGTGGCGGGTCCTTCCCATAGTGTCATTCAGAGACCACCTAGAGGTTCTGCTTCGATGGAAGACTACATCAAATTTGTCGGAATTAACGATCCAGTTGAAGTCAATGAAATCCTCGACCTTTTCAAACCCCATAGGATTCGAGACTATCATAACTTTCACAAAACCGACGGTTCAATCACCAAAAGCGATCTGTTAGGGTATGGTATTCCAGCTGGCATAATCAGTGACTTACTCGACAATGTTGATAGGTTTGACGAGCATCTTGCTGACCAGGATTAAAAAGGTAATCTCAATGTCATAGATTCATTTTGAGGAGACTCGCTAATCATCTTTTGAAACTTTTATTCGGTTGTTTGGATTTTAGGACGCTTCAAGACTTCATTTGAATCAAACGGGTTCCTTTTGTTACTTTGTATCAAATCTCATGTATTGTTTTCTATCTCAAACAAAGATCTTCTTCAACACAGTGTCTTATTTTTCTCTATTTTCTTTATTCTATCATATTGTATTGTTTTTGTCTTCTCTTCTTTATGTACTGATGGTCAATCAATCTTCTTAAACACAGTGTATTGTTTTCTTCTACTTTTTTTCTTTATTCTATCATTCTTTATGTACTGATGATCAATCAAGATCTTAATGCAAGTGTAGCATCATTTTGATCAATATTTGACTGGATCGAAGTTGAATTAATCAAAATGAAATAGTGAGAAACTTGAGATCTCAACAAAATCCAATCAGTCAATAAAAAAGCGGGACTTGAGATTTCACAATGAAATGAAATCAATTGAAAACAACATTGAAAAGGAATCCATCGATTGATAAAGATTGAGATGGGATTGATTGATGAAGATCGCATAAGAAACTCAATATTCAAAATGAAAGAAACTGGGATCGATCGATGAACATCATATAAAAATTCAAAATGAAAAAACTTGGGATCGATCGATGAACATCATATGAAAAACTCAATATTCAAAATGAAGAAACTTCTAAATGAGATCCATGAGATCCATGACCATCATTCCTGGAGGCAATAGATACCCACTATTTGCATACAGAGGGGCAAGTAGTTCAGGAGTGATTGCATCAATTGCTGTCTCTCTGATTGGCCAATTCGCATCTTCATTTGCATTCTCGAGGATGCGAGTTCTCTTGAAGCGTGATTTGATCACAGAGAAACAGTACTCGATGGGATTGAGCTCTGGACAATACGGTGGTAGATATACCAGTAATACACCTTCACCAGACACCATTTCAGCTCGTGAATGACCACTGAATAAGAGTAAACAACCACAACCTCACCTGCTGCCTCACAGAGCTCAGCTACTCGTCCATTGTGATGAATTGAGCAGTTATCCATCACCAGTACGCTGTTGGGATTTGGATAGGGTTGCATTTGTGGCAGCTATTGAACATGGAAGGAAAAAAGTGAGGATGTAAAAATGATTCAGGATATCTATCAATCACGTACCAGTTGGAACTCCAAGAAGGATTCAAATCGCTCGCGATTGATACTGCCCTCTCGGACTGTCAATGCCAGAAGACCATTCAATCCAATCGCAGGAAGTAGAGAGTAGCGGCGAGGATTGTTTCTTCGGACCCATCGATAGACTCGTTCCCCAGATTTTGAACGACCATTTACACGTAGCAAGTCCCTTTCACATATCAAGCTTTCATCTGATGCAAGATAATTGATTCAGTATGGTGATTCCTTCAAGTAGAAGTGGAAAACATACCAGTAAACACAAGCATCTCAGCTGGTATATCTCGCATCCTTTCAATATACTGAGCTTTTCTTTGAAAATCTTTGTTGACATGAGATGTGTTGGCTTTCTTTGAGGTAAGGTGTAAGCGATGATTGAGTTCGTTAGCCAGACACTCGACACTAGGGAGTGCTCCGGTATCGTCGTAGAGCTTTTCCCGGATCTCGTCTAAAAAGAGGTCAGGTGATGCAGCTACCAGCTCATTCAGAAAGTCGCGGTCCTCGTCGTCAAGCAAAGTTTTCCGTCCTCGAGTTTGGTATCCTTCAGGATCTCGGATGACTTGCCGAGTTTCTTGATACAGATTCATCCAACGTTTGAAAGAACGTTTACTGATGTCGGCATGGAGCTCATCGCAAATCTCGTCAGTGGCTTTGCCTTCGAGGATTTTGATAACTGCAAGAGCCTTGATTCGAGGGGGGTACTTGACAAACATTGATGTGGTTGCTGAATCAAATGGTGGCTGATGGATTTGACTGAAAGCACAATCAAAACTGAGCTGTGATCTGGGCAGAAGCTCTCTGGATCTTCGCTCAAGTAACAGCAAAATTAAATCTCAGAGCTCAGAGCTACAAAAGCTGAAGCCCCGATCGTGCACAGACCCTCATTAACGATCCAGCTCACAAATGGGTCCGACCGGCAGCAACTTTTTTTGCTTCGATTGGACAAGCATTTGTGAAGATGCAGTATGTCCAAAAAATCCCGTATTCCTGTATAGATATGACTGAGAATGCCACAAAACGCTTTGAGCAAGTTTGAGCTGCATTGAAGAAATCTTTGACTGTGACTCCTGGAACACCGAAGCAATTATCAAGAAGTAGGACCTCAGATCAGAAAGACATCCCAAAGGACATACTACTGCCTTACTGCGTCAATATCAGACTCAGTCCATGAAACCAAGAGCCAGATCAAATACCTTCATTACAAGGAACAAAGTTAGTGTGGACATCGCGATGATCATTACCTTCACTCAAGGCAGACAGGAGCATCAGATACAGACCAGAATCGGAAGAGGTCGGGCGAGCTCAAACCACGTTCTTCCATTGGTGGACATGTGGAAGAATGCGAACTATGCGCAATTCTGAGATCAGTGACACTTTGACGATAGTCTTAGCTTCACGAATGTGACATGTGATCATAGATCATCACCTTCAATCACGTGCCTAGAGTCAAATCACACTGTGTAATTGAGGTTCTTCATATATATCAAACAAGAATCTGGGGTTTACTTCAACTCATGTGCTCAAGTAGTTGAAGTGGTGAAGTCCTATTCTACTTAGAACATACTAGAGCACAATAAGTCAAATTTTGATGCAAGTTGATGACTTGGATTTGAGTAGAAGTCTTAGGCACATCCTTAATCTTATGTAATCCCTGGGCCTCAGGAGTCAGTGCCCATGTTAGCCTTATCAGTTAGAATTGTAAAACATGGATTATCTAAGGAGAAAAAATTGAATATGGGTCAATTATGAAGGCCTTCAGTTGGTTTTCTCTCACTTGACACCAACAGAAGATGGATCCAGAGAAGTTCACATATATTGAGGCATTTGAAGATTTTTAACCAGCCTGATCAGATTATGTCATTACTGCATTTTATGTTCACTAATAATTCATCCCATCTGTTTACCCAACGTGCAAGATAGGATATCATGCCAAACAATCTTTAGTTGTTTTGAATCATTTTATGTCAAAGTCAGACTAA